TGTCTTTGTCAGTGGGCAAACGTACAAAATCAGCAGGGGATCAAATACTTTTTTCCCTCACTGTATTTGACCCCTCTGCAAAACATGACTTACTCCCGAGTGGCGCAGTGCTCTAAGGCACTGCATCGCAGTGCTAGCTGTGCCACTAGAGATCCTGGTTCGAATCCAGGCTCTGTCGTAGCCGGCCGCGACCGGGAGACCCATGGGGCGGCGCACAATTCGTCCAGGGTAGGGGAGGGAATGGCCGGCAGGGATGTAGCTCAGTTGGTAGAGTTGGGTTCGGTATGAAAAAAATAAAAAATAATGTATGCACTCACTAACTGTAAGTCGCTCTGGATAAGAGCGTCTGCTAAATGACTAAAATGTAAATGTAGTACTTGGTGGCAATCACAGTGGTCAGACATTTCTTGTAGTTGGCCACCAGGTTTGCACACATCTCAGGAGGGATTTTGTTCCACTCCTCTTTGCAGATCTTCTCCAAGTCATTAAGGTTTCGAGGCTGACTTTGGCAACTCGAACCTTCAGCTCCCTCCACAGATTTTCTATGCGATTAAGGTCTGGAGACTGGCTAGGCCACTCCAGGACCTTAATGTGCTTCTTCTTGAGCCACTCCTTTGTTGCCTTGGCCGTGTGTTTTGGGTCATTGTCATGCTGGAATACCCATCCACGACCCATTTTCAATGCCCTGGCTGAGGGAAGGAGGTTCTCACCCAAGATTTGACGGTACATGGCCACGTCCATCGTCCCTTTGATGCGGTGAAGTTGTCCTGTCCCCTTAGCAGAAAAACACAACCTTAGCATAATGTTTCCACCTCCATGTTTGACAGTGGGGTCATAGGCAGCATTCCTCCTCCTCCAAACACGGCGAGTTGAGTTGATGCCAAAGAGCTCGATTTTGGTCTCATCTGACCACAACACTTTCAACCAGTTCTCCTCTGAATCATTCAGATGTTCATTGGCAAACTTCAGACGTGCCTGTATATGTGCTTTCTTGAGCAGGGGGACCTTGCGGGCGCTGCAGGATTTTAGTCCTTCACGGCGTAGTTTTCTTGGTGACTATGGTCCCAGCTGCCTTGAGATCATTGACAAGATCCTCCCGTGTAGTTCTGGGCTGATTCCTCACCGTTGTCATGATCATTGCAACTCCACGAGGTGAGATCTTGCATGGAGCCCCAGGCCGAGGGAGATTGACAGTTCTTTTGTGTTTCTTCCATTTGCGAATAATCGCACCAACTGTTGTCACCTTCTCACCAAGCTGCTTGGCGATGGTCTTGTAGCCCATTCCAGCCTTGTGTAGGTCTACAATCTTGTCCCTGACGTCCTTGGAGAGCTCTTTGGTCTTGGCCATGGTGGAGAGTTTGGAATCTGATTGATTGATTGCTTCTGTGGACAGGTGTCTTTTATACAGGTAACAAGCTGAGATTAGGAGCACTCCCTTTAAGAGTATGCTCCTAATCTCTGTATAAAAGACAACTGGGAGCCAGAAATCTTTCTGATTGAGAGGGGATCAAATACTTATTTCCCTCATTAAAATGCAAATCAATTTATAACATTATTGACATGCTTTTTTCTGGATTTTTTGTTGTTGTTATTCTGTCTCCCACTGTTGAAATAAACCTACCATTAAAATTATAGACTGATCATTTCTTTGTCAGTGGGCAAACGTACAAAATCAGCAGGGGATCAAATACTTTCTTCTCTCACTGTAATACAGGTAATTAGCAGTGGCACACAAGGTTGAATTATTATGTGTTTGCCAAACAATTTTCGATTTTAAATAACAAACCTCTCAGGAGACACATAGGCAAGAGCAGCCCCCCAAAAAAGAGCACCCAAAAAAACTGAACAACAAACTTGCTAGATACCAGGGTTGGGGTCAATTTTGAATTGAGTTGCGAATTGCTCTTTAATTCCAATTCAATTCTTGAATTTGAATTGGCCACACCCCACAGGAGGCAGAATTTTAACTAAATTTGAATTAAAGGAGGTACAATTTAATTCAATGAAATTCAAATGGCTTATTTATTCTACGCATCACTATACAAATGTTTATTTTGATATCATGTATGGATACCAATTCCATGTAACATATGGTTGAAACATTTCATTTTAAAAACCTTGTCCTAAAACTATATTAAATCATCAAAGTGGCCTGTTCAACAGTGGCCTATTCTAAGAACATGTTGTTGGTTGTCTATAATAATTTATAATTCCCTTAATGTTTTAAATATGAGTAAAAAATGTATATATCCCAGAATGCATTAGATCAAACACTGGAGTATGAAAGGGAACAATGATCTCATGACAATGAAAAATACTGTTTGAAATCTTTGATCTTTGAAGTGGTCTTTGAGTTATAATCAAACTAATATTTGTAATGGTATGTGTATGCTTTGCATTAATAAGTGGCAGATCCTTTTGATAAAATATTTGTCGAATGACATGTTTCATGTCTCAGTTGAATTGGTTTAAATTGCGTTGAATTAAATTATATTTCCTTCCATTCAAATTCGATTCAAATTCTGCTTCCGGTGTGGCCAACTCAAATTCAATCAAATTCATGGATTGAATTAAATTGAGAAATTCCGAATTGACCCCAACCCTGCTAGATACCAGTCAAGTAACAAGTTTCCTCACTTGCTCTAAGAAATAAGATATTATGCAGAGCAAGTCAGAGTTGACTGATTCAGCACCTGCTACATCACTATATAAAGATTTGTCATAGCCTCAGGTCCTGTTTCAATAGGCCTATGGCTTAATTATAGGACCCCAGGGCCTGAATTTGCTGGTCAAATTATTACTTTAATTGAGCGAAGATGATATGCAATACTGCCTTCTTTGGTTAGGGGGTATCGTTTCATTCTTTTCAAGTTATCAGTCTTTTTTTTTCTTCTTTCAACGTCTATCTCAAAGTTAGCATTTTATCATTACTAAAACACAGCACCTTAAATTCCACTGAAAGGTGTCCTTTTCAATTAAGCTTTAATTTACACAGTCACCACACCAATTTGAAAAAGAAGAATGTATTGACATTTTATCAAACATCTCTAATCTCAGTGTTTGAATTCATCCAAGAAGTGATTTACTCTAACATAATTACAGTAAACACGGGATTTAAATACAGACCGCTTAAACTGTGAACATAAACAGTATTTTCCACATCCACTTAATTATACCTTTTGAAATGACAATGGTAACAACCAATTTGTAAACCCCTAATTGTGTGAAGCCTTGCTATAGTTCACTCTGTTGTATCATCCCACATCATAAAACACAAATCCAAACCAGTCTGGAAAAAGAAATTATGTGCAGCGTCTAAGCATGAATCTTAGCAGGATATTAGTTTCTAACTTTGATTAAAGTCATTTAATAAACACATTCAACAATACCTGAAAGCCATACACCCACACTCACCTTTGCTTGTGCCATTGTGGAGATGGCACAGAGAAATCTTTGTCCTCTCAACTCATCAAATCCTGGGTATATTGAATTATGAGCTGCCTGGTCTGTCTACATTATCTTACCATTTTAATCTTTTTTAAAAATTTTTTTTACTTACATCCCTCCCATCCCTTATTTTGCTTGAGTAGTGAATCATAATCAGACATCATACCAATTTTAGAATACATATAAGTGTATATGCAAAATCCCAAATTATGATCAATTTTCATGACCTGAAACATCCTTGAGGGACCCATTTTGCAGATAGCTTCTTTTTTTTTGCAAGGCTGTCCATTAATTTGTGAGAGAACCTGTCTTCTCTTCTGAGAATTACATTTTTGCTTTTTAAAAGTATGATGATTCAAAGGTTATTTGAGGTACTCCATGCCACGATGTTCATTAAATAACAGTTTAGCCTTGACATTTGGAAAACCATTCTTCTGACTGAGGTAAAATACAAACATTTGCTAGTACCAACCCTTGGATAGATTGAGCTAAACCAGTGGTATGCTATAGTTGTAGCATACTCTTAAGACAGTGAGAATTTCCCAATAAGGTTGCTACTGTAGGCCTATATCATATATTTTTACCAGTTGTATTGACCTGGTGCAATGTTAGGTAAGTTTTGTGTATGCCATGTCGATTTAGGTCACTTTTTGCCTCACATGTTCTGTTGCACAGACAACTGAACTGTTCAGGAATGCTGAACAAATCGGGATCCACAGGGGCAGGGTTGGTTCACAGCGTTAAGCTGGTGCCATTTAGGTCTCTGGACCAAACAGATCCTAATGGTTCCCAGCTCCTTACCACGATGATGGCTCAGCTCACTTCTTTTATGTATATCTTAACATAAAAGAGCCGTTCTGATAAGTGGGAGGATATTTAAAATGAGCTAAATGGGGGTCTGCAACAATTGTAGGCTACCGTATCAAATTGAATGGGTGAATTACAATGTGCTCAAAAGGTGCAAGAAGTAATATGTTCATCATGTTTAATAATTTGAATGGCCATTGTAGAACAGAACATCCATACACAACCAGATGTCAGTGTTGACATAATGTATGGTGAAAAAGTGGGATGATTTTTCTCCTGACCTGCATGTCTGTGGTAAAATATCAGGGGCGTATTAATTACGCTGATTCTGTTTTAAAACGTTTCTTAAACGGCAAACAGAACGAAACGGGGAGGGACCTACCTGAATTTGTCCAATTGAAACTTCTCATTTTAGTTGTTCGGTTTTGCAACCATTTGGACTAATGATTACACCCCAGATGTAACACTGTGGGCATGCACATTTCAAACAACCCAGTCACACCTGAGGCACAGTAATCAATTATAAAAAAGTGATTTATTGAGATCATGTGCAGGGAACAGATGGTGTTGATTGTTAGAAACCTCTGAAATTCCTCTAGCCTATTACCAGGACTGCAACTTTTATTTTACCAATAACAAAAATATGTGTTATACATTTTATAATATTTAACATTCAGCGCACACATAATGGAACAATACAAATAAAGAGACAGAATAGCAACATTAATTGAAAGTTGTTCATTTATTAGTCTTCACATGCAACAAAGACATGAGTGCATACATCTGTTTGACATGGTATCATCACATAAGCATAATGCAACATCTTCTAATAACATTATAATAAATACATAGACTACTGAGCATGTCACTAATAATGGCTTGTATCAATCGAAAAAGTAGGCACTGCACAAAACAAAACTACACAAAAGTGCACATAATTCGATATTATTTCGTAATTCCATCGGAGTATTACTGGTTAAATAGTTCAGACGACTTTGCAAATGTGTTTTTTCATGACTACTTTCACAAGCAAAGTTCTGAAGAACTAGCTACTAAGCTTCTACTGTATGTCGACGTTTACAAATGTCCTTCTACATATGGCTACTTCTCAATGTTGCCTAGAACGACAACTAAACTTGCGCGTGCGCAATACCAAGGCCCGAGTCCCCGATACAAGATGGCGGAGAAGGTGGGGAGTGAGAGGCGGAGGCAGGTCCGGATTGAATAGAGCAAAGGCTATACAAGGTTCCCAACAAACCTCTATAAGGTAAGGGGAATAACCACATTAGCGATACAGCAAGGGCATGGACAGGTGGCGGAATACGCAGGGTATCATATTATCCACTAAAAATGTGCACGCATTGTCAATGCACGAAATAAACAAACAATATTGTCTGCAAGGGGTTCAGTGGCAATGACTGGATATCGCGCGCCATCTTGTCTCAACAAAAGTGCGCGCCTAAATATTTGTATGCGTTTGAAATTAAAGGAGTTCAGATACGCCTATTTTGACAGCATACACGGGTACCCTTACTAATTCTCGTCATTTTTATGTCTCAATAACCCCGTTTCGTACAGTATCCTACCGTATTTTATCTGTTTTCCACGTATCCCCCACTTGGGTTCCGAGATGCTGCCGTTGCCTTTTATTGTGTAGCGCAGTTACCCGATGTTATCCCCTCCTCCTTCGTGTTTGTTTTCGGGCGGCTCTAACTGGGGTGGGCGGTGTAACAGCGCATGCGTGTCCTTTTGCTCATTTCTGTTATCAACGAGAAAGATAGAAACTTATCTGCAAGATGTCAATTTGATGTGTTATGTTAATCAAAAGGACATCAAATTAATAATTAAACACTAGGTACTAGAATGCATAGGTATAGCTAGCCAGTTAACGTTAACTATCTAGCTACATGTTTTATACATAATACATTCATGTTGATTTAGCTAGTTAGTTTATTTTCACCAGCGTAATCCCCACCGCTGGTTTCACTCTGCTGGTTCCGAGGGATTTGACGGAGATTATGACGATATATGTCGGTGCACTATGTTGCCAATAACACCTTGTGGAAGTACAACACAATCTAGCTAGCTACTGTTACCTCCCTAGAAACACTAGTCTGCCTAATTTATTATCTCATTCTCTTGTGCGCTCGCTACGGGTCTGGATGAATGGGTTCTATCATTCATTCATTGAATGATTACCACTACACTAGTAGGCTACCATTCACTCCAGACTGTAAATGCAGAAATGTCAGGACAATCAAGAAGTAACCACAATGAAATGATATGACCAGGCGAAGATCCTTTGAACGCTGCGAGTAGGCTAGTGAGGATGCGGCGGTTGGAGAAGCAACCGATGTGCTGGAATGCGATTAATATGGATGATCGTTCTGATGATATGGGTCCGGAGGATGAGGTCAAGAACCTGAATGTTCTGTAGTGGAAAGTACCTGAATGTTCTGTCGTGGAAAGTAATAGGAAAAAGAGAGACCATGCTACTTACTGAAAGCAGTGGCTCTTCTGGCGAAGAGAGCGTGAAGTTATGATGGTGTTTGATGTGACCACAGGGCCTCATTTATAGGACTATACCCAATCCGATTAACCTAGGGGTCCTCAACCTTTTCTTGCCAAGGGACCTGCACCCAAGCAAACCGGCGAACCCCATCATATGTTAGCAAAAACATGTTTTTCACATCTTGTCATCAGGTGAATGGCAAGGAGAAGTAATGAACATTATAAAATTAATAGATTTGGTAGATTTTTGTTATTATTTGAACCTCCCCACATTATACAGTGCCTTCAGAAAGTATTCACACCCCTTGACTTTTTCCACATTTTGTTGTGTTACAGACTGAATTTAAAATATATAAAATTTAGATTTTTTGGTTACTGGCCTACACACAATACCCCATAATGTCGAAGTGGAATTATGTTTTTCAAAATGTTCACAAATTAATAAAAAATAAAAAGCTGAAATGTCTTGAGTCAATAAGTATTCAACCCTTTTGTTATGGCAAGCCTAAATAAATGTGCTTAATATGTCACATAACAAGTTGCATGGACATTTTGTAAAATGATTACCTCATCTCTGTACCCCACACATACAATTATCTGTAAGGTCCCTCAGTCCAGCAGTGAATTTCACCATGGATTCAACCACAAAGAGGTTTTCCAATGCCTCTCAAAGAAGGGCACCTATTGGTAGATGGGTAAAAAATAAAAATAAAGCAGACATTGAATATCCCTTTGAGCATGGTGAAGTTATTAATTACACGTTGGATTGTGTATCAATACACCTAGTCACTACAAAGATACAGGCGTCCTTCCTAATTCAGTTGCCGGAGAGGAAGGAAACCGCTCAGGGATTTCACCTTGAGGCCAATGGTGACTTTAAAACAGTTGCAGAGTTTAATGGCTGTGATCGGGAAAAAACTGAGGATAGATCAACGTTGTAGTTACTCAACAATACTAACCTACAGTGGTGATTTTGGCATGTAAATCCTGGTGGGGCAAAAAAAAATAATGTGGGATGCATGTCAGCAAAGCCACAACACAACACTAAACAATACATTAATTGCACTATAACGGTGTCAAACTGTGCCCACAAACTGTTAGGGCCTACATAAAGCTGTCCCAACAGCAGAGTCCCAACAGCAGTCCCAACATCTTACCACTGCTACACCTGGCTATCAGCGTAGCCTTGTCTGGCAGCGAAACACAGCTGATATGGCTGACTTGCTTAAACAAATGTGGTTTCTACTGACAATTGAGATGTAAAAAAAATTTGGCATAAGGGGACGACAAGCGGATAAGAAGCAATCCGTAATTTCGATTAAGACATTAATGAGCGAGCTACGACGGACGTATTCAATAACTATTTGTTTAGCACTTTTGAAATGTACAGCGACAGAATTCAGAACATGGGCCATTTTTACAGTGTTCTCCCTGTATACCAAGTCAGAACCGTAGGATAAATAAAGGGGGCATATAAGCAGACAATGAAAGCTCTTACAATATTCAATGATTACATTTCTCTGAAACAGGTTATAGGCTACATGTGCACCACCAATTCAGAACAGTAGGCGAAATTAAGAGGGGAAAATATACCAAATGATTAGGGGTGGCACATGGGCTACTAACAGCTTACTACACAACATACACTTATTATTACTTTCTTAGCTACAGTATACATTTCTCCTGGCATATTACATCATTTATGCAGCAGCATACAATACATATTTGGACTCACCTTGTTGTGCTGTGCTCACTTGAACAGGAAGGTGGCGCGGCGGTCCTTCGTGGGCAAAGTCTGGCATTCTCTGGATTTATGGTGCTTTCAAGACAACTGGGAACTCTGAAAAAAACAAGGTTGAATCATGATGACTTCAGTGATCTTCAGGTCGTAGCTCTAGAATGAGGCCCGAGTTCCGGATTTACAATTCCGAGTTGGATGACCGTTCAAAACGTATTTTCACAGTCTGAGCTCATTTTTTCCCTGGGTTCTCAGTTGTCTTGAACTCACTGAAGTCAAGTTTTCGCAGTTCCGAGTTAACAATTGTTTTGAGCGCGGCACAAATCATGCTTCATTGACAGCATGGCCAATGATGAATGTTTATCATTTTAAACTTGGAAAAGAGACCCTGAATCCCATATTTGGGACCACACAGCCACTCCACTGAATAGCAGGCTAGTGATTGCCTTGCAATGCTTGCAGTTAGCCACTGATTCCTTCCAAACCACTCATTGTTGAATTTGTGATTTCCAACTTGTTGTGTAATGTTTATGTCCAATGGCCGATGAGCACCGATACGTTTTATCTATAATTTCTCTTCATTATTTATCTTCAGATGACAAGGATTAAAAAGGATTTGCTAGTAGATTGTCGACTTGATTCATGATGATGACTGCTAGCTAAGATTTTGAAAGTATCATGTTGACATGATCAGTCCAATCAAAGCTACTGTAGATATAACGGGATTTGACGTCATTTTATCTGTGGCCAATGACCTTGAGCCTTCTTGGATGGGCACTTCTAATGTAACTCTATGGCAGCACCCAAGGGTCTTGAATTTCGAGCTCTACCCTTACACTTGGCGGTGACGTAGTGTCCCCATGAGTGACAGAACACTGAGCCAATCACGGCGCAACTAGAAAACATTGCCAACACCTACGCTCCGTATTTTCCGCTGGCTGCCCCACCACCACAGAAAGCACTGAGCTAGGCTGAAACACCTGGATTTTGGAGCTGCCTTACTCAAGAAAGCAAAAAAGAGACCATGTTTGTATGCGGCTTAATTAACTCAATGATTGTTTTTATTTTGTGTCTTTGTTTGCAAACTGATATGTGACACGTATTAATGCCTAAATAACATGCAAAACAGGCAAGCAATTTTTTTATTTATTTTTTGCTAAAATTGTGTGGCTCAAAACTGCCCTGAATAACGGATCGCCACTGCTAACCTAATTGACCGAGTGAAAAGAAGGAAGCCTGTACAGAATAAAAAATATTCCAAAACATGCATCCTGTTTGCAACAAGGCACTAAAGTAATACTGCAAAAAAAACGTTTTGTCCTCAATACAAAGTGTTATGTTTGGGGCAATCCAATACAACACATTACTGAGTACCACACTCCAAATTTTCAAGCATCATGTTATGGGTATGCTTGTAATCGTAAAGGACTGGGGAGTTTTTCAGGATAAAAAATTAACATAATAGAGCTAAGCACAGGCAAAATCCTAGTTGAAAACCTGGTTCAGTGTGCTTTCCACCAGACACTGGGAGATGAATTCGCCTTTCAGCAGGACAATAACCTAAAATACAAGGTCAAATCTACACTGGAGTTGCTTATCAAGAAGACAGTAAATGTTCCTGAGTGGCCGAGTTACAGTTTTGACATAAATCTATTTGAAAGACCTGAAAATGGTTGTCTAGCAGTGATCAATAAACAATTTGACAGTGTAAAGGAAAGAAAATATGTGCCAAATGTGGAAGGGAACATGATTACGGTGACTGTGGGAACAATGTGAAGGCTAAATGTTGTAATTGTGGGTGGGAACACAGCATTTGGTGGATGCCAGGTGCAGAGAGAGGCCCAGAGATATAGAATCAATCATGATGTCTCATATGCAGACGCTGTAAAACAGATTGGTGGAACGACTAGGCAGACTGATGGAGAAACCCTGGCTGCTCTCGTAGTACAGTGCCTTGAGAAAGTTTTCATACCCCTTGACTTATTCCACATTTTGTTGTGTTACAGCCTGAATTCAAAATGTATTGCATTTTTTTTCCCTCACCCATCTACACACAATACCCCATAATGACAAAGTGAAAACATGTTTTTAGAATTGATTGCAAATGTATTGAAAATGAAATATACACTGCTCAAAAAAATAAAGGGAACACTTAAACAACACAATGTAACTCCAAGTCAATCACACTTCTGTGAAATCAAACTGTCCACTTAGGAAGCAACACTGATTGACAATACATTTCACATGCTGTTGTGCAAATGGAATAGACAACAGGTGGAAATTATAGGCAATTAGCAAGACACCCCCAATAAAGGACTGGTTTTGCAGGTGGTGACCACAGACCACTTCTCAGTTCTTATGCTTCCTGGCTGATGTTTTGGTCACTCCATGAGGGCCCGACGTCCACAGGTGGGGGTTGTGCTTACAGCCCAACACCGTGCAGGATGTTTGGCATTTGCCAGAGAGCACCAAGATTGGCAAATTCGCCACAGATGAAAGCAGGTTCACACTGAGCACATGTGACAGACGTGACAGAGTCTGGAGACGCCGTGGAGAACGTTCTGCTGCCTGCAACATCCTCCAGCATGACCGGTTTGGCGGTGGGTCAGTCATGGTGTGGGGTGGCATTTCTTTGGGGGGCCGCACAGCCCTCCATGTGCTCGCCAGAGGTAGCCTGACTGCCATTAGGTACCGAGATGAGATCCTCAGACCCCTTGTGAGACCATATGCTGGTGCGGTTGGCCCTGGGTTCCTCCTAACGCAAGACAATGCTAGACCTCATGTGGCTGGAGTGTGTCAGCAGTTCCTGCAAGAGGAAGGCATTGATGCTATGGACTGGCCCGCCCGTTCCCCAGACCTGAATCCAATTGAGCACATCTGGGACATCATGTCTCGCTCCATCCACCAACGCCACGTTGCACCACAGACTGTCCAGGAGTTGGCGGATGCTTTAGTCCAGGTCTGGGAGGAGATCCCTCAGGAGACCATCCGCCACCTCATCAGGAGCATGCCCAGGCGTTGTAGGGAGGTCATACAGGCACGTGGAGGCCACACACACTACTGAGCCTCATTTTGACTTGTTTTAAGGACATTACATCAAAGTTGGATCAGCCTGTAGTGTGGTTTTCCACTTAAATTTTGAGGGTGACTCCAAATCCAGACCTCCATGGGTTGATAAATTTGATTTCCATTGATCATTTGTGTGTGATTTTGTTGTCAGCACATTCAACTATGTAAAGAAAAAAGTATTTAATAAGATTATTTCATTCATTCAGATCTAGGATGTGTTATTTTAGTGTTCCCTTTATTTTTTTGAGCAGTGTAGAAATATCTCATTCACGTAAGTATTCACACCCCTGAGGCAATACATGTTAGAATTACCTTTGGTAGCGATTATAGCTCTGAGTCTTTCTGGTTAAGTCGCTAAGAGCTTTGCACACCTGGAGTGTATAATATTTGCACATTATTATTTTTAAAATTCTTCAAGCTCTGTCAAGTTGGTTGTTAATCTTTGCTAGACAGATATTTTCAAGTCTTGCCATAGATTTTCAAGCCGGTCTAAGTCAACTGTAACTAGGCCTCTCAGGAACATTCAATGTCGCATTGGTAAGCAACTCCGAACCTGGTCTTCCTCTAGGATGTTGCCTGTGCTTAGCTCTATTCAGTTTATTTTTATTCTAAAAAAACTCCCTAGTCCTTGCCGATGGCGAGCATACCCGTAACATGATGCAACCACCACCATGCTTGAAAATATGAAGAGTGGTACTCAGTGATGTTGTATTCGATTTGCCCAAAACATAAGGCTTTGTATTCCAGACATAAAGTTCTCTGCCACATTTTCTGCAGTTTTACTTTAGTGCCTTATTGTAAACAGGATGCATGTTTTGGAATATTTTTTATTCTGTACAGGATTTCTTCTTTTCGCTCTGTCATTAAGGTTAGTATTGTGGAATAACTACAATGTTGTTGATCTATCCTCAGTTTTCTCCCATCACAGCCATTAAATTCTTAACTGTTTTAGTCACCATTGGCCTCATGGTTTCCCTGAGCGGGTTCCTTCCTATCCGGCAACTGAGTTAGGAACGACGCCTGTATCTTTGTAGTGACTTGGTCTATTGATACACCATCCAAAGTGTAATTAATAACTTCACCATGCTCAAAAGGATATTCCTTACCTTATTTAGTCTTGCTATAACAAAGGGGTTGAAGACTTATTGACTCAACACATTTCAGCTTTTCATTTTTAATTAATTAGTAAACATTTCTAAAAACATAATTCCACTTTGACATTATGGGGTATTGTGCCCTGCGTCCTCCGAAACACAACCCCACCGAGCCGCACTGCTTCTTGACACCATGCCCGCTTAACCCGGAAGGCCAGTGACACAAAATCTCAATGTGATCTATTTTAAATTCCGTCTGTAACAAAATGGCTACACGGAGTATCTGCATTGACCCTTCTATTTTATTAAAATGTTTCCTCTGTCTCTATGCACACTGACACACATTCATACTGACTCTACACACACACACACACAATCATCATATACACTGCTGCTACTCTGTTTATCATATATCCTGATGTCTAACCCTACCACTCCAGTATCCCTGCACATTGTAATTTTTTGTACCCCTTTTTCGTGGTATCCAATTGGTAGTTACAGTCTTGTCCCATTGCTGCAACTCCCGTACGGACACGGGAGAGGCGAAGGTCGAGAGCCCTGCGTCCTCCGAAACACAACCCAACCGAGCCGCACTGCTTCTTGACACAATGCCCCCTTAACCCGGAAGCCAGCCGCACCAATGTGTCGGAGGAAACACCGTACACCTGGCGACCGTGTCAGCGTGTACTGCGCCCGACCAGCCACAGGAGTCGCTATTGCGCGATGGGACAAGAACATCCCTGCCGGCCAAACCCTCCCCTAACCTGGACGATGCTGGGGCAGTTGTGCGCCACCCCATGGGTCTCCCAGTCGCGGCCGGCTGCGACAGAGCCTGGACTCGAACCAGGATCTCTAGTGGCACAGCTAGCACTACGATGCCGTGCCTTAGACCACTGCGCCACATCGGGAGGCCTCTTATTTCTATTTCTTGTGTGTTTTTGTTCTACTTGACTTTTTTATTTTTTTATAGTACTACTGATATTGATTATTGCATTGGGAAAGACCATTAAGAAAAGCATTTCACTGTACTTGTGCAGTGCACTGAACAAAAACTTAACTTGAAATAAAATTGACTTCATAGCTTTCATTGGAAAGGTTATCAACCCTACTGAAAGCAGAAATGCCGGCAACAGAGTTAATAGGTGTAGCAGATGTTACTGTCGACATTATTTTTTAAATGCTGAATAATCCTAAAGATGGATTGTCTCAGCATGACAGCGGGACATTTTGATGGGGTTGTGGGGGGGGGGTTGGGTATGGGGGAGGGTTTCTTAGAAGTTAGTAGGGATTTTGTTGTTTATTTTTTCTTAGTAGTACAGAATGAAGCAAAACATGATTGATCGCACAGTCCAGCACAGTAGGTGGTGGCATGCACCTTAAACGATTGTTTGCGGACCGCCATTATAGCATAGAATGTCTTGCTTGATCCCTTGAATTAAAATCTTATTTCGGAAAGCATGTCAAATCACCACCTGGGTACCTTGGAGATTATGGAACAGTTTACATTTGATCACATTTAAGAATAGTAAACAGCTAGCATGCTAGGTTCATTGTTCTGTCATTTGAAAAGTACACAGTATATACTTTACCAGGCAAATTAAGTTAAAACCCCTTGGCTATTTTTGCACCATCTCTTTTCAGGACAGGACAGATGAGGAGAGATGTCAAGTGAGAACCACGGAACAGTGAAGGGGGACACTGCTATGGTGATGTCTCCCACAGGCTCTGCCACACAGGGGTCTCCTGTCTCACCATCAACTAGCAAGCCCGTGCCAGAGTTGCCAGGTAAGATAGCCCTAGTGACATGACAACAAGCAGTGCATATATGCCGTAACTCTGCTCTCCAAGCATTCATTGTATGGTAAAAAAATAATGCCAATGAGCTGTGTGGTCCAGTGGTTACAGCCACTGACCCCGGAGTCGGCATGCGTTCGAATCTGGCCCACTGCCCTTTGACTCACCACCCCTATCTTCCCTGTCTTTCCAACACTTTACTATCTCTTCAATAAAAAAGCAAAAAATATATAAAAGCAGTGGGACTGCCCCACTCTTAAAAAGAATACCTTTAAAAGAAATGATGCCAGTATTTAATGTACCCTCACATTCACAATAGTTTGAAATTAGCTTCCTTTTCTGCCATTTTCTTTATCGATACAGGATAAGTGAAAGCAATATGCCAGAATCCCATTTGGCAAGAGGATACCCACCTGTACAGTTATTTTAAAGCCTAATGTATACCCTAGGTACGAAGTGCAAGAAAGCTACCCAAAATGGGGATCCTGTGTTCTTACAAAGTTATGACTTGCAGGGCTGCAAACGTCTGTGTAGTTTTGCTATTCAACGCTATTTTGCGACGCTACATGTAGTTCGTCCATGCGTACAGTGCCTTCAGAAAGTATTCATAGCCATTGATTTATTCCATATTTTGTTGTTACAGCCTGAATTCAAAATTGATTAAATATATTTTTTTATCACACGTATAGACACAATATCCCATAATAAAGTGAAAACATGTTTTTAAAATGTTGCTAATTTATTGAAAATGAAATACAGAAATATCTCAGTACCTTGCAGAACCACCTTTGGCAGTGATTACAGCTGTGAGTCTTTCTGGGTAAGTCTCCAAAGAGCTTTCCAAACCTGGATTGCGCAACATTTGCCCATTTATCGTTTTCAAATTTCTTCAAGCTCTGTCAAATTGGTTGTTGATCATTGCTAGACAACCATTTTCAGGTCTTGCCATAGGTTTTCCTCTAGGATTTTGTCTGTGCTTAGCTCTATTCCGTTTCTTTTTTATCCTAAAAACTCCCCAGTCCTTAACTATTACAAGCATACCCATAACATGATGCAGCCACCACTATCCTTGAAAATATGGAGAGTGGTACTCTGTAATGTGTTGCATTGGATTTGCCCCAAACATAACACTTTGTATTCTGCACAAAAATGTAATTGCTTTGCCACATTGTTTTGCAGTATTACTTTAGTGCCTTGTTGCAAATAGGATTCATGTTTTGTAATATTTGTATTCTGTACATGGTTCCTTCTTTTCACTCTGTCAATTAGTTTAGTATTGTGGAGTAACTACAATATTGAGCCATACTCAGTTGTCTCCCATCACAGTCATTAAACTTTGTAACTGTTTTAATGTCACCATTGGCCCCATGGTGAAATTGAGCGGTTTCCATCCTCTCTGGCAACTGATTTAAGAAGGACGCCTGTATCTTTGAAATGACTGGGTGTATTGATACACCATCCAACGTGTAATTCATAACTTCACCATGCTCAAAGGGATATTCAATGTCTGCTTTTTATTTTATTTTGGCCCATCTACCAATAGGTGCCCTTCTTTGTGAGGCATTGGAAAACATCCCTGGTCTTTGTGGTTGAATCTGTGTTTGAAATTCACTGCTCGACTGAGGGACCTTACAATTTATCTGTATGTGTGGGGTACAAAGATGAGGTAGTCATTCATAAACATGTTAAACATTATTATTGCACACAGAGTGAGTCCATGCAACTTATTATGTGACTTGTTAAGCAAATTTATACTCTTGAACTTATTTAGGCTTGCCATAACAAAAAGGTTAAATACTTATTTGAAAACATAATTCCACTTTGACATTATGGGGTGTTGTGTGTAGGCCAGTGACAAAAAATCTCAATTTAATCCATTTTGAATTCAGGCTGTAACACATCATAATGTGGAAAAAGTAAAGGGGTGTGAATACTTTACGTAGGGTATAGATGAGGGTACTGTACGTAGGGTATAGATGAGGCTTAAGATCAGTGCTGAGGAAGGAAAGGATACTGTCTCTGTCTATGTTGACTTGCTACTTACAAGTGAGAAGAACCAGACGAGATAGATTTGACCTTTCTGACACCTTTCCTGTTTGTGCAGACGAGCTCGTCCAGGCCGGCTGGTCAAAATGCTGGAGCAAGCGGGAGAATCGGCCCTACTGGTTCAACCGCTTCACCAATCAGTCGATGTGGGAGATGCCAGTCCTGGGGCAGCAAGATGTCATTGTGAGTGCAAAATGGTTATAGCTTCTTGATTTGGGACTGAGGGAAAATGTTTCTGTTTAGTTCTGTTCTTAGTACCTTAGGCTCTCTTTTCTCAGTATCTGTCTCTTGATGGAACTTGGTCTGAACCTTAAGACCTCCTTGCATTATATCAACATCACTCTACTCCAGCAATTTTCTAACGCGGCGGCTGCCCTGTTTGTTCCTGTCTTTGTAGTCCGACCCGCTGGGTTTGAATGCTGCCCCGGCCTCGGCGGAGGGGGCAGGCGACGCCGGCGTGGGCAACGGGCAGCGCAAGAGATGCCTGTCGGAGGAGGCCGCCCAGGGGGGTCCTAACAGCTTCAAGAGGCCCAAGGTGAGTCATTGAGCAGAGCACGTTTCTTACAGTCAATGCCGCGAAATTATACAAGTGTGACAATTTTCATGCTTCTATACCAAAGTGATACATTTTCGAGCATATCTACTGGACTACACAGTGCTGTCTCTTACATTTGACAGCAGGAAAGTAATGTTTAAGCAGAATCATATGGTGTGCCCCTTGTCTCTGTCGATTGTTTCATACGTTTTTTTTTTATTTGAATATTTCGTCTTTGTCACTCTAATCCAACATTATATTGACATTGACATTTTAGTAATTTAGCTTACAGTTAGTGAGTGCATACATTTTTCATACAATATGTGACTGTGTCATTGACAGATTGAGATTGGTATACCTGTAACCCCAACGACACCCACATTGCCCATCTCACCCATTACCTCTGGGGCAAAGCCGTGGAACTCTACCACAGGCACAGAGGACAAGCCAGGGCAGCCCGCACCGGCCCTATACCGTCCCACCGTGTGAGTACAGCCACACATCAGTCACTGGAATCGAAATGTAGACATCCCATGGCCCCATGTCCATTTCAACTGATAAAAATGTAAATTAAAATGACCACTACCATGGTGTACGGACTCAGATCTTCATCCCAACAGCTCATTTGCCAGTTTTTGGGACGGTTTCTCTGACACAGGTTGACGTTTATTGGGATGAGTCTTGTCCTTGAGGCAGAACTGAGCGATTTTCCGCTAGATGGGCCAGCTGCAAAGTCAAAATTGGCTATATTGTAAAAATTCATGAAAACAAAAATTAGCTTTTTGTTCTTAATGTAAGGTTAGGCATTAGGGTTAGCATTGTGGTTAAGGTTAGGTTTAAAATCAGATTTTATGACTTTGTGGCTGTGCCAGCTAGTGACCACTCTGCAGAGCTCCTTCCAGAACAAGGTTAATGATGTAAAACGCTAACCTGCTCCTTAAAGTTTAGTAGTCCTGGACTAAAAAGCTATTTCGATGGTGATTCTCCATTGACCATGCTTTTTATTCCAGGAATAGGCAGAGAAACTGGCCCTTTGTTATGTCATGTTATGTAGAACGCTGCCTGAGGAAGACCTGTTTTGTCGAAACGTGTTGGAGTGTTGATCCTGCTGGAGCATAATATGCTGATCTGCTTGTGTGTCTATAAACGGTTATATAGCCTATAGTACCCTACAGTCAGGTGTGAATTACACTGTGACATGACATTTTTTTTATGGACCTAATAATAAATATGTAATTTAACGGTAAAAATGAATTGCCTTTTAATGTGGCATGAACACAACCAGTCATAATGCTTTCATCAGATTGTCAAACAAATCCCTTCAGAACGTAGGCTATCTGTGCATGTTCATCCACTCCAAAATAATCCAAACAGTGCAATGCATGTATACTTGCACCATTTGATGAATGGAAATAGACAGCTGTTTACAAAACACCTAAAAGTGTGCCTAATGACATTCAGCTATTGATTAGGCCTACATTAATTGATGCATCTTGCTGACAAATTGACCTTTTTTGTAGCCTGAAATGGGACTGAAACTGTCCCGGGAAAAACGGGGTGGTCACCCTAACACACAAGGTCAATTTACTAGACTAGGCTGCAATGTGTAGGTCTATTACCTTGAACTTCAAATAAGAATACCTGTAGCCAGTGATGTAGTGGTAAAAATAATAGTTGGGTAAACTCGGATTACTGGTCGCGGTGAAAAAAGTAAACGCTTCCTATGCTTTCAATTAGGGTTGGGCGGTATCCAGATTTTCATATCTTCATACCGGCCTTCTCTCACCCTGGGATTGAAGGTATTACCAGTTTAGTTCACAAGTGGGCTCCAAAAAACGCAAAAAAACATTACCAGAATGCTAACAAAATTAGTACAAGTAATAGTGAATTTGCATGGAGGCTGCTAGGTAAATATGCTAACGAGCGCAAACGAAAACAAACTAATTGCAATCCAGCTCATAAAGTTATATAGGTATGAGTTTGGACATTTTACAAGCGAATGTGAACGAGAAACATTGTGCAAATGAACAAAGTTTTGATGCATGCAGCACTGGCTCTCCAGCAGCATGTCTACAGGCTGTGTCTGTGTGGAGTCTGGAGTCTCTAGGGCAACGGGCCTGCCTGCTCTGCTCGGAGAAGAGGGGGGAGGAGCAGACGGGTGAGAACAGAGGAGAAAAACATAAGGAAATCAAGATACTGTAGCAGTGGCAGCTGTACAAATAACTCCTCCAAAGGGCTTTGCCTTCTGAAACACGGCAGAAAGCTAACACAATATGATTCCCTGTCACCTTATTATTCAGCCACTTACTTAAATAGCAAGTTTAACGCATAATTCTGCATTTTTCACAGAAAAAAACATAAAACGCATAAGAAATATAATGTCTAGAATGCTTCTTATTGTAATTCCTGCTCGGCATAGACTAATTTTGTGTTTCAGTTCGGATGAGAATTTCCGAACGTACAATGCAAGATTAACTTTAAGCAAAACATTAGGAAATGTAGCTGGCTATATTCTTTCTATGATAGGCCTAAACATTACATTGTAAGCTCATTTTACTTGTGTGGCTGCCAGCCAAATGAAGCTATTTTATGTCGAATGTGTTGCACTAATGTATTTTCTGTGGAGGAAAACTATAGTTGCAGGTCCGTGATCACTCTATTGAAGCTAAAGAAACACTGTTGACTTTCAAAATAAAACGCGACCCCTGTCAATACACAGCTGGACTCACCTACTCCCGCTTTCTCCTGTTGTGCTATTTACAAACAAACACATGACTGGCTCAACTGTGCTGGGGAACTAAGTAAGCTTCATAATGTAAAATAATATGGCCGTTGAAATAAGAACGAGATCTGCTTTATCGGGGGAGCTACAGGCCCTGTGTAGCTCAGTTGGTAGAGCATGGCGCTTGCAACGCCAGGGTTGTGGGTTCGTTTCGTAAAAAAAACATGTATGCACACACTAACTGTAAATCGCTCTGGATAAGAACGTCTGCTAAATGACTAAAATGTAAATCTCCTAACCATTGCATAAGTTGACTGCAGGTACTTACTTAAAATAGCTACAAATATACTTCAAATAAATAGTTTTGACAGTATTGAAAAACCATCCCGTGGCTATTTCCAAATACCCTGGTATACCGCCCAAGCCTACTTTATATGCATTGGTGGGTAAACTGCGTTTAGTTGTGTTTACCCTCCAGTAGGCCTACACCACCGCCGGTAGCCTACCCTCTCAGCCGAGGAAATTTGACACACATGAACACATGCAGAACAGGTAGCCTACATTCAATATAATACAGTATACAAGTTGAATCAAAACATGTTTACACCCTAGTTCATGAGTTGTCCATAATTCATGAGTTGAATGCATGGAGTCTTCACAGATCGTGTGACATAAAACACTACCTTTCTTTCCTTACATTAATGACATTCATGACAGTGTTATTTGTAATTATTAAGCATTTAACAATTGAATTAGAACATTGAACTTAAACTTTGTAAGATTCCTGGATCTCAGAAAATGCAGTAAGTGTAACTATGCCTACATTTCATTATTTTTCGCCATGAAAACAGTTCTCATGGGCACACAAATCCAAAATAATGTAGGCCTATGCCATCGCAAAATCAAATGCTTCTAACCGAAAGAGTCAACTATAATCCTACTGTCATTAATGTTGGATGGATTGGATGCGCATTGGTGTCTAGCTGTAGGCTAGTTATCTAGCAATATTGGCAACCATCATCAGCTGATACAGGAAAGAAAACAAATATTGATAGAAAATAGTAAAGCTAAATAAATGGTCTACTTCTTCTGGCCACGGACGGCACGGAGAACACCACAATACCCACGCACACCTGAAAAACTAAGCAATGAGCGCTTAGTTTATTTTAGCTGACTGACAAAAGCAAACAATGATAAATCAACGGATAAATCAAATGAATGCATTGGATAAAGGCTATTTTTATCGAGGGCGCGTGGCAAACAAAGGAAAATCTATGCGTTTAAAGGAGCTCAGCTGAGGCCGAAATTCAGCCCTACTGTGAGTATAGCTTTGACAGGGAGACAGTTTGTGCCGCCATGTATAAATAAATGGTTTAAACCATGACAGAGAAGTGAATTTGGAAGCTTTTATTTTCATATTTACCACTGTAAATCATATAGGAGAATGGTTAAATTAGCATTATTTAGAGACTCCAACAAAGTTTCACTTATGTTGCATTTAGGGTAGCTAATGTCTCAAACATGGGAGCTAAGCCCCCCCTGGCTCCCCCATAATTCGCACCCTGACTACAGTTCACTAAAGTGTTATTTATCTCGTCGATATACTGGGCAGGCAGGTCTCCTTTTTGTCTTGTTTTGGGATTTTACGTAGAACCTTAGTTGATAATAGTTCTATAAAGCTGAAATGGCAAGCATGGTGAATAACAGGCTCTGTCGTATTTTCTGTTTTTTTGTTAAAGAAAATATTGCTGCATCCACCACCTGCCCTCTTCGGAGGACAAACATAACTTTTGTTTTTACAGTTTTTTTTTGTTTTACATGTACATTCTACACACATTTTGCATACATGGCACTTATTTTTTTTCCCACAGTAGTTACATAGCAAGAATATAGTTATTTGATATACATTTACATTACATCTGGATATATAGTACTTAAACACATACAGTATATACATTATTGTGTTTTCAGTCATAACTATTATAGAACATGAGCTTTTAAACCCATCCCTCAGCTAATTTCAATCCATCCCACCTATCTCTGATAACCACCCTCTTTTGATTTCTATGTGACATATATTTTTCAACTTTCCTGTGATGTTTCACATAAATTCTGAACCTTTGTAATCCCATAGTATCTACAGATTGTAAGTTAAAAATAAATATTTTTCATAAAAGTATTATTACAGTGGCTTGCGAAAGTATTCACCCCCTTGGCTTTTTTCCTATTTTGTTGCCTTACAACCTGGAATTAAAATGGATATTTTGAGGGTTTGAATCATTTGATTTACACAATATGCCTACCACTTTGAAGATGCAAAATATTTGTTATTGTGAAACAAACAAGAAATAAGAAAAAAAAAAACAGAACTTGAGCGTGCATAACTATTCACCCCCCCAAAGTCAATACTTTGTAGAGCCACCTTTTGCAGCAATTACAGCTGCAAGTCTCTTGGGGTATGTCTCTATAAGCTTGGCACGTCTAGCAACTGGGATTTTTGCCCATTCTTCAAGGCAAAACTGCTCCAGCTCCTTCAAGTTGGATGGGTTCCGCTGGTGTACAGCAATCTTTAAGTCATACCACAGATTCTCAATTGGATTGAGGTCTGGGCTTTGACTAGGCCATTCCAAGACATTTAAATGTTTCCCCTTAAACCACTTGAGTGTTGCTTTAGCAGTATGCTTAGGGGCATTGTCCTGCTGGAAGGTGAACCTCCGTCCCAGTCTCAAATCTCTGGAAGACTGAAACAGGTTTCCCTCAAGAATTTCCCTGTATTTAGTGCCATCCATCATTCCTTAAATTCTGACCAGTTTCCCAGTCGCCTGCTGATGGAAAAACATCCCCACAGCATGATGCTGCCACCACCATGCTTCACTGTGGAGATGGGTTTTCTCGGGGTGATGAGGTGTTAGGTTTGCGCCAGACATAGTGTTTTCCTTGATGGCCAAAAAGCTCAATTTTAGTCTCATCTGACCAGAGTACCTTCTTCCATGCCTTTTGGCGAACACCAAACGTGTTTGCTTATTTCTTTCTTTAAGCAATGGCTTTTTTTCTGGCCACTCTTCCGTAAAGCCCAGCTCTGTGGAGTGTACGGCTTAAAGTGGTCCTATGGACAGATACTCCAATCTCCGCTGTAGAGCTTTGCAGCTCCTTCAGGGTTATCTTTGGTCTCTTTGTTGCCTCTCTGATTAATGCCCTCCTTGCCTGGGCCGTGAGTTTTGGTGGGCGGCCCTCTCTTGGCAGGTTTGTTGTGGTGCCATAGTCTTTCAATTTTTTTATAATGGATTTAATGGTGCTCTGTGGGATGTTCAAAGTTTCTGATATTTTTTTATAACCCAACCCTGATCTGTACTTCTCCACAACTTTGTCCCTGACCTGTTTGGAGAGCTCCTTGGTCTTCATGGTGCCGCTTGCTTGGTGGTGCCCCTTGCTTAGTGGTGTTGCAGACTCTGGGGCCTTTCAGAACAGGTGTATATATACTGAGATCATGTGGCACTTCGATTGCACACAGGTGGACTTTATTAAACTAATTATGTGACTTCTGAAGGTAATTGGTTGCACCAGAACTTATTTAGGGATTTCATACCAAAGGGGGGGAATACATATAGTGAGGGGAAAAAGTATTTGATCCCCTGCTGATTTTGTACGTTTGCCCACTGACAAAGAAATGATCAGTCTATAATTTTAATGGTAGGTTTATTTGAATAGTGAGAGACAGAATAACAACAAAAAAATCCAGAAAAACGTCAAAAATGTTATAAATTGATTTGCATTTTAATGAGGGAAATAAGTATTTGACCCCTCTGCAAAACATGACTTAGTACTTGGTGGCAAAACCCTTGTTGGCAATCACAAAGGTCAGATGTTTCTTGTAGTTGGCCACCAGGTTTGCACACATCTCAGGAGGGATTTTGTCTTTGCAGATCTTCTCCAAGTCATTAAGGTTTCGAGGCTGACGTTTGGCAACTCGAACCTTCAGCTCCCTCCACAGATTTTCTATGGGATTAAGGTCTGGAGACTGGCTAGGCCACTCCAGGACCTTAATGTGCTTCTTCTTGAGCCACTCGTTTGTTGCCTTGGCCGTGTGATTTGGGTCATTGTCATGCTGGAATACCCATCCACGACCCATTTTCAATGCCCTGGCTGAGGGAAGGAGGTTCTCACCCAAGATTTGACGGTACATGGCCCCGTCCATCGTCCCTTTGATGCGGTGAAGTTGTCCTGTCCCCTAAGCAGAAAAACACCCCCAAAGCATAATGTTTCCATCTCCATGTTTGACAGTGGGGATGGTGTTCTTGGGGTCATAGGCAGCATTCCTCCTCCTCCAAACACGGCGAGTTGAGTTGATGCCAAAGAGCTCGATTTTGGTCTCATCTGACCACAACACTTTCACCCAGTTCTCCTCTGAATCATTCAGATGTTCATTGGCAAACTTCAGACGGGCCTGTATATGTGCTTTCTTGAGCAGGGGGACCTTGCGGGCGCTGCAGGATTTCAGTCCTTCACTGCGTAGTGTGTTACCAATTGTTTTCTTGGTGACTATGGTCCCAGCTGCCTTGAGATCATTGACAAGATCCTCCCGTGTAGTTCTGGGCTGATTCCTCACCGTTCTCATGATCATTGCAACTCCACGAGTTGAGATCTTGCATGGAGCCCCAGGCCGAGGGAGATTGACAGTTCTTTTGTGTTTCTTCCATTTGCGAATAATCGCACCAACTGTTGTCACCTTCTCACCAAGCTGCTTGGCGATGGTCTTGTAGCCCATTCCAGCCTTGTGTAGGTCTACAATCTTGTCCCTGACATCCTTGGAGAGCTCTTTGGTCTTGGCCATGGTGGAGAGTTTGGAATCTGATTGATTGATTGCTTCTGTGGACAGGTGTCTTTTATACAGGTAACAAGCTGAGATTAGGAGCACTCCCATTAAGAGTGTGCTCCTAATCTCAGCTCGTTACCTGTATAAAAGATACCTGGGAGGCAGAAATCTTTCTGATTGAGAGGGGGTCAAATACTTATTTCCCTCATTAAAATACAAATCAATTTATAACATCTTCTGGATTTTGTTGTTGTTATTCTGTCTCTCACTGTTCAAATAAACCTACCATTAAAATTATAGACTGATCATGTCTTTGTCAGTGGGCAAACGTATAAAATCAGCAGGGGATCAAATACTTTTTTCCCTCACTGTATGTATTCACCCCCTTTGGTATGAAATCTCTAATAAGATCTGGTGCAACCAATTACCTTCAGGAAACGCTATGTCTGGCGCAAACCCAACACCTCTCATCACCCCGAGAACACCATCTCCACAGTGAAGCATGGTGGTGGCAGCATCATGCTGTGGGGATGTTTTTCATCGGCATGAATAGTTATGCACACTCAAGTTCAGTTTTCTGTCTTATTTCTTGTTTGTTTCACCCCAAAAATATTTTGCATCTTCAAAGTGGTAGACATGTTGTGTAAATCAAATGATACAACCCCCCAAAAAAATCCATTTTAATTCCAGATTTTAAGGCAACAAAATATGAAAAATGCCAAGAGGGTGAATACTTTCGCAAGCCACTGTATTAGGTAATGCTGCAATCAGTTGGTTGTAATTTCGGATAGAGCAAACATTTCCATATTTTTTTGTTAACTGCACATCTGACAACTCCACCGTTCCTATTCATAAAATCATTTAACAAAAAATTCCTTTAAATAAATAAAATATCCGTAAATAATGTTTTTTTGTGATCAATTTGTATGTTTGAGTTTAACCTTAATATTTGTTGTAATATTTGTCCTGTCTTTTTTGGGGGATGAAACCAGCTTTGTATGGCTTGTTTTAGAAAGACCGATATTTAGAAAATGGTTCCGTTATCAATTAACTGAAAGTGAGAGGGTGTAATCTGGATAAAGGGGAAAAGGCCATTTTTGATCAAGGGGTGAACCATTCTTACTAATCTACTGGAGAACCAGTTCGGGTTTAAGTAGAACTTTTGTATGACTGATGCTTTTAGTGAGAGGTCTAATGCTTTAATATTTAATAATTTTAACCCCCCAAACTCATATTCATTATATAAATAAGTACGTTTAATTCTGTCTGGCTTGACATTCCTAATAAAGTGAAATATGTTTTGCTCATATAATTTAAAAAAACTAATCATTTGGCATAGGCAGGGCCATAAAATGGGTAAACAGGGATATGACTAAAGAATCAGGGTGATTTTTCCACAAATAGGCAGGTATTTATCTTTCCGTGGTAGCAAGCAAGAACGTATCTATTTTTGCTAACTTTCTATTGAAATGTGTTGTAGTGAGTTCATTTATTTCTTTATGGATATGAATACTGAGTATGTCTGTCATTGTTGCTGTTGTAGAATATACTGGGACCTGGACATTCAGACGAACGCAGTGATCAGAGAGCGAGCCCCCGCCAACCATCTACCTCCCCACCCGGAGATTGAGCTCCAACGCTCCCAGCTCACCACCAAGCTACGGCAGCACTACCAAGAGCTCTGCTACCAACGAGAAGGTACATTACCCACACAACTGGCGTTGTGTCAAGTCAAACATTTAAATGAAAATGATTGCTTTTCTTACCTTAATGTCTTACTTTTCAAGGTGCCTCCCCATTATGCTGTCAGATGTTTGCTTTCTAGATGAGCTTGAGGTGTCTGTCTGAAAACAATGCTGAGGTGTCACTTTTCTTTTCTACAATGCTCAATATTTTTCAAGCCGTTGTGGTCACTCACCCCTGGTCCTGGAGTGCCACAGGGTGCGCAGGTTTTTACTCCAGCCCAGGGTCATGTTATTTAGGCACAAAACGGAAGACAACGGACTGAAACGGAGGGACTGTCTGAACTTTTACAATAAGCAACGCTCATTTTCATTTTCCATTGTGAAATGGATTCAAATGTTTTCCCATATTTATGCCCTAGTGAACACAACCTAGGTGTTCCTATTCTCGGCTGACCTCAACCTTGATGATCAATGGGCTTTCCCCCTCTCTAATAGGTATCGAGCCCCCACAGGAGTCTTTCAACCGCTGGCTGCTGGAGCGCAAGGTGCTGGACAAAGGGCCCGACCCCCTACTGCCCAGCGATTGTGACCCCATCATCTCCCCATCCATGTTCAGAGAGGTCATGAACGACATCCCCATCAGGTCAGTGGGAAAGGGTTATCTGTACCAGTCCTGGCTTCAAATCTGTGCTTGCTTGATCTTGCCTGGCGCAAAGGAACCAATGGAATAGACCCACAACTGCAAACCCCGCCAATCGGACACTCCAGGCAGGCTCAAACAAACGCTCAAAGTATTTGAAAGATTTCAAATATTATATTTGAACAAAGGTCTGATCTGTACATACCGATTATAGTCTACTCTATAATAACGTCTGTATGGCTTGATTCAATACAGTAAATTAAGTTGTCTGATGTTGCACAAGGAGCAATTGTTTTTGCATGTGAAATGTCAATACATTTAAATGTCGTCTTAGCATTTCAATTTGGACAACAGTGGCTCCTCTCAACGCTTTGTTTCATTTACTACAGTTTTGTTATTTCTTATGCCAGGTTGTCCCGCATCAAGTACAAAGAGGAGGCCCGAAAACTCTTATTCAAATACGCCGAAGCTGCCAAGAAAATGATTGACTCGAGGTAGGTGTTTCTGGCACACTAGAGTTAATTAGACAAATTCCCTTTTTATATGGCCTGATATTCTTTGATGTCGCTCCAAGTATGACGTCAGTGAAGCTGTCTTAAAGAATTCGAGCCACTAATATGTTCTGGCACACCACTACATAAAGCCCCTTGACAATTTAAAATGTACTATATATAGCCGATAAGTTATATAACTCAAGTGATGGCTCAGCATTTTTTTTAAGACCACCGCTTTGACTGCAAGATCCAGCTCATAACATAACAAGCAACACAATGTCTCGGTATTTTGGCATCCTACATAGATAGCATTTATAGACCTGAAGCAGAAACCCACAGCTTCTGGGTTTGCACTTGAACGCTAAACCAAAACCGTCCCGTCTCTTTCCCCAACTGTCTTGACTGAGTGGCAGCTTGGATAGATGTGAGGAAAACAACTGAAGAGGGGAAAATAATAAAAAAAAAAAAGCATTTATATGGGAGATTGATTGGGCTAGTTGAGCGGCTCTTTGGTTTGAAACGATTTGTCTTGCTTGGAGAATGACCGGTGTGTTTTATGTCCTGTTAGAAACGCCACACCAGACAGCCGGAAGGTTGTGAAATGGAATGCGGAGGACACCATGAACTGGCTACGGAGAGACAACTCGGCCAGTAAAGAGGACTACATGGTGTGTATGTGTAGTCAAGGAGTAGTGTGTGTGTTTGTGTGTGTGAGCTCGTGTGTAGTAGATTGTGTGTGGTTTAGAAGTGTGGCATACTGTATGTATATATGTGGCAACAACAAAAAAATATCCATTGCTGTATAAATTCACCTCAATGGAATGTACACTGACATGTATCTGTTGAAAAGCATATCCGAAACCTAGTGTTTTTCCCTCAGGATCGTCTGGAGCACTTACGGAAACAGTGTGGTCCCCATGTAACGGCGGTAGCCAAAGACTCAGTGGAGGGAATTTGTACGAAGATCTACCACATCTCAGTAGAGTACGTGCAACGTATTCGTCAGGCCCACCAGACCATGCTGAAGGACTGCAACATCACGGGTGAGACGTGCTAACTTGCGAAATCTCCTCAGACTCCGCACACTAGGCTGGACTCCATCCATTTATCCCCACCCCCGGCCGCTGTGACGAACCGATCCAAATGTAGCATGCATCGGTCAGAAAATAGATTCACACATTACGAATCGCCGGTTCACAAAGTTTTTTGGGGTTCATATTACATTCTTTCTACCTTGCGAAAATACTTCTCATCTTTTGTGAAAACTGATACCTCATCTCCTTCAGTGTCGAACTGCGTTGACCGTCATTAATCTACAATTCATTTAGCATGTTGAACAACCCCAGGCAATATCAGTAGACTAGTCAAACTGTCCCCGGCTTCGCGCGCTGACTGATATGAGGAATGACCCTGTTCCTGACCGTTCACATCTGCGCGGCACCTTCAGCATTCAAATGCTAAAATGGCTTGCGTGATATTAGGCTTTATTAGTTGAGTGACAACCTATATCATTTGCTAGGTTATTGTTATCTATGCACTGTTGAAAATCTTGTTTTACCCGAATAAAAGTACGTTACCGGAGACTCAACTCTCATCTGGCTATACCTGCTGAACGGGGCTTACAATAGATTTCAGTTTGATTGTTCAGTTTCACCATCAGCAATAGTTTTGGATAGTTTTGCTTTAAACAGTCAGTTTAAGTATTCATACCCCTTTACTTCATACCCCTTTACTTAATCCATATTTTGTTGTTCAGTGTCTGTTGGAAAGCAGACTGATCCAGGTTTTCCTCTAGGAGTTTTCCTGTGCTTAGCTCTATTCTGTTTCATTTATCAGAAAAAACTCCCTAGTCCTTTCCGATGACAAGCATACCCATAACCAATGTTCCTTCTAAGATGCGCGGGTGCACAGCTCCCCCGGGACTGCTGTGCAGAAGAAATATCAGCCCATGCAGAGAAGCACGAGATTGAACTTCACTCAACTTTCTAGTTTTCCCCTTTTAGTTAACACTATCAACCATGTTTCCCTCTACTGTGGGAATTGTGATCGAATCAACGCAATATTAGCCACTTTCAATACAACATACCGAAACAACAAAACAAACGAAGCAAGATATTTTCTTGTAGGCAAAGCGCATTGGAGTAGGATTCTATTGCATTGACAGGCACGACTTAGGTACATACTCTACACAGACCGGTACGCCATAACCAATCAGAGCTGCACTATCCCTATATGTAAATAGACCATTGCCATATATGGATCTGTCATTCACTTTGAACTGAACTGTGTTTACAGCATGAGTGGTTGCGAGTAGATGCACTTGTTTTCAGATCAAAGTGAGAGCTGCATGTAGCCACGTGTGCACATTTGTTCATATTCTTTGCTAGTAAGTGAGTTATTAGCCCAGTTATAGCTCATTTCTAGTCAGCGATGGGGGAGTGGTTGCTTGACCAGAGAATCTTGTTTCTCATGGCCTGAGCATATTTAGGTGCCTTTTGGCAAACTCCAAGCGGGCTGTCATGTGCCTTTTACTGAGGAGTGGCTTCCGTCTGGCCACTTTACCATAAAGGCCTGATTGGTGGAGTGCTGCAGAGATGGTTGTCCTTCTGGAAGGTACTCCCATCTCCACAGAGGAACTCTGGAGCTCTGTCAGAGTGACCATCAGGTTGTTGGTCACCTCCCTGACCAAGGCCCTTCTCCCCCAATTGTTCAGTTTGGCCGGGCGGACAGTTATAGGAAGAGCCTTGGTGGTTCCAAACATCTTCCATTTAAGAATGATGGAGGCCACTGTGTTCTTGGGAACCTCCAATGCAGCAGACATTTTTTGGTATCTGTGCCTCAACACAATCCTGTCTCAGAGCTCTACAGACAATTCCTTTGACCTCATGGCTTGGTTTTTGCTCTGACATGCACTGTCAACTATGGGACCTTATATAGACAGGTGTGTGCCTTTCCAAATCATGTCCAATCAATTGAATTTACCACAGGTGGACTCGAATCAAGTTGTAGAAACAGCTCAAGGATGATCAATGGAAACCAAGATGCACCTGAGCTCAATTTCGAGTCTCATAGCAAAGGGTCTGAATACTTTGTAAATAAGGTATTTCGAATAATTTTGAAAGGAAAATATGCACATCCCTAATTATCTATTTATTTTTGGTGCACAACCATATAAATATATTGAGTCTGAATGGGAATGTCTGTTCTAGTCGTTCTATATCAGTGCCCAACATTTTGTTACTTGAATATCCAAAATTCTGTTGATATTGTGGTTTTACTCTGAATTGAAGCAATTCTCAATATCCATGGTGGACTAGTGTTTTCATGTTTTTTTCTTACTTACTTACTTTTGTTTTACTGTTATTTTTGTTTTTCCCCTCTCAGACCCAGAGGCAGCCGAGGTGCAGGGCAGGCTGGTGTACTGCTACCCCGTCCGGCTGGCCCTGCCCTCGCCGACCCAGCCCCGCGTGGAGCTGCACTTTGAGAACGACATCGCCTGCTTACGCTACAAGGGAGAGATGGTCAAGGTCAACCGTGGCTACTTCGCCAAGCTGGTGAGGAATATGTTGTAGCAAAGATATTATGTGTAGTATAGTATTAAAAGTACCAAAGTGCCTTCGGAAAGTATTCGGACCCCTTGACTTTTTCAACATTTTGTTACGTTACAGCCTTATTCTAAAATGGATTAAAACAAATAAAAAATCCTCAGCAATCTACACACAATACCCCATAATGAAAAAGCAAAAACAGGTTTGTAGATTTGTTTGCAAATTTATAACAAATAAAAAAACAGAAATACCTTATTTACATAAGTATTCAGACTCTTTGCAAAGACACTCAAAATTGAGCTCAGGTGCATCCTGTTTCCATTGAAAATACTTGATGTTTCTACAACTTGATTGGAGTCCACTTGTGGTAAATCCAATTGATTGGAAATGATTTGGAAAGGCACACACCTGTCTATATAAGGTCCCACTGTTGACAGTGCATGTCAAAGCAAAGACCAAGCCATGAGGTCGAAGGAATTGTCTGTAGAGCTCTGAGACAGGATTGTGTTGAGGCACAGATCTGGGGAAGGGTACCAAAACATTTCTGCAGCATTGAAGGTTCCCAAGAACACAGTGGCCTCCATCATTCTTAAATGGAAGACGTTTGGAACCACCAAGACTCTTCCTAGAGCTGGCCGCCCAGCCAAACTGAGCAATCGGGGGAGAAGGGCCTTGGTCAGGGAGGTGACCAAGAACCCGATGGTCACTGACAGAGCTCTAGAGTTCCTCTGTGGAGATGGGAGAACCTTCCAGAAGAACAACAATCTCTGCAGCACTCTACCAATCAGGCCTTTATGGTAGATTGGTCAGACGGAAGCCACTCCTCAGTAAAAGGCACATGACAGCTCGCTTGGAGTTTGCCAAAAGGCACCTAAGACCATGAGAAACAAGATTCTCTGGTCTAATGAAACCAAGATTGAACTCTTTAGGCTGAATGCCAGGCGTCACGTATGGAGGAAACCTTGCACCATCCCTACGGTGATGCATGGTGGTAGCAGCATCGTGCTGTGGGGATGTTTTTCAGCGGCAGGGACTGGGAGACTAGTCAGGATCGAGGCAAAGATGAACGGAGCAAAGTACAGCGAGATCCTTGATGAAAACCTGCTCCAGAGTGCTCAGGACCTCAGACTGGGGCGAAGGTTCACCTTCCAACAGGACAACCACCCTAAGCACACAGCCAAGACAACGCAGGAGTGGCTTCTGGACAAGTGTCTGAATGTATTTGAGTGGCCCTGCCAGAGCCCGGACATGAACCCGATCGAACATCTTTGGAGAGACCTGAAAATAGCTGTGCAGCAACGCTCCCCATCCAACCTGACAGAGCTTGAGCGGATCTGCAGAGACGAATGGGAGAAACTCTCCAAATATATGGATATGGCAATGGTTCTGAGTGCATGACATTGACGTTAGGTATACACACACACACCATTTTTAGGTGTGTTGATACTTGCACAGTTTGAGTTGTTTGAGAAACTGCCGGGAACTAATCCTGGAAGGTGTGGTTGATATAATTGACTAGCATCGCCTCTGGGCACATGCTCTCTGCTAAAATACTCACCCCTCTATCCAGGAGCTCTTATACCGATACAGCTGCATCGACGATCCCAGGTTCGAAAAGTTCCTGTCACGAATATGGTGCCTTATCAAGAGATACCAGGTAAATCGGACTTCCTACCCCCCCCCCCCCCCCCCCCCCCTATTCTATTTTTCTTTAAAGCTTTTCCTCTATTTTCACTGCCAAAGTAGTATTATTGATATGAAGCTATCTGTTGGGAGGCAATGCTCTTATAGTCCACCATCCCCTCCAACTTCTTGTTGCTCTTTCTCCTTTTCACTTCATCTTTTCTGTTGTTTGTTGTGCTGATGTCATCATTTATTGTGCTAATGATGTCACTGTTTGTTGTGCAGGTGATGTTTGGCGCCGGGGTGAATGAGGGGATGGGCTTACAGGGGGCCCTTCCTGTGCCTGTCTTCGAGGCACTCAACAAGCAGTTTGGGGTGAGCTTTGAGTGTTTCGCCTCGCCGCTCAACTCCTACTTCAAGCAGTTCTGCTCGGCTTTCCCTGACACCGATGGCTTCTTTGGATCCAGGGGGTAGGTTTTTTTAAATAAATGTTTTTATGGTTTACTTCTCATCCCAAACAATACGTCATTATATGTGGTCTACCCCAGTGTTTCTCAACCTCCAGTACATGGTGCTGCACCGGTACGTGGCATGTTGCTGACCATTTCCAGAGAGTCTAATTCGGTCAGATTTACAATGCTTATTTCAATGTAAGGTCCCTGACACTATAGCATGCCGGTCCTTGACACAAAAAAGGGTTGAGAAACACTAGTCTACCCCATCTCAACTAAACAGAGACCACCGAGGCATGGTCCGTGTACTTTTTTGTCATTTGTTAACCTCTTAACGATCGGACCCTCTTTTTCAATTTTCGCCTAAAATGAGATACCCAAATCTAACTGCCTGTAGCTCAGGACCTGAAGCAAGGATATGCAAATTCTTGATACCATTTGAAAGGAAGCACTTTGAAGTTTGTGGAAATGTGAAATTAATGTAGGAGAATATATCACATTAGATCTGGTAAAAGATAATACAAACAAAACAACATGCGTTTTTTTGAAATGCAAGAGCAAGGCCACAATATAATAATGCAGTTAAATGCAATTTACATGTTGGCCACTAGATGGCAGCAGTGTGTGCAAAGTTTCAGATTTTTTGTATCAAGTCTGCCCAAATGTGCCGAATTGGTCAATTGATACATTTTCAAGTACATAACTATAGAGAACATGCAAACATGATATGGTAATGCAAAATGTAAGTTTACACACTCCCAGGAATGTCATACATGATGGATCATTAGCTTATACACTAACTTTCACACATCTAGATGGTCGGGCGGGGTGGGTGTGGTGCAAGAGACAGCAGGGGTTCAAACTGTAGAACCCAGTTCATACATTTGAATATAAAAATTGATTTTATCAAACAAAACTATGCTACATTTTTATCTCTGGGACCCTTAGGATGACAAATCAGAGCAAGATTACTGAATGTAAGTACATTATTTACCTTCAGAGGTGAATGTATCAAACCAGTTGCCGTGCTTAGTTTTTTGTTGTTGTTTACTCTCTTCAAACAATAGCATGGTATTTCTTCACTGTAATAGCTACTGTATATTGGACAGTGCAGTTAGATTAACAAGAATTTAAGCTTTCTGCCCGTATAAGACATGTCCATGTCCTGGAAAGTTTGCTGTTACTTACAACAGTCAAGCTAATCACATTAGCGCACGTTAGCTCAACCGTCCCGTATACGGGACACCGATCCCGTAGAGGTTAATCTATGGGTTTCTAGTTTGACCCTGTTCTAAAATGTTCTCTTTGTCTCCAAGGCCTTTCCTGAACTTCTCACCGGCCAGTGGCTCCTTTGAGGCCAACCCTCCCTTCTGTGAGGAGCTGATGGATGCCATGGTGACACACTTTGAGGTGCTCCTCCTTAGTCATTTTTTCTTGATCACTAGTTGAAAAGATGGCGCCTTGCTGGATGGCCGCCATTTTGCAATCTCCGACTCAACATTGCTATTTTGTGATTATTTTATTTTATTTTATTTTACTGAATTTTCTCGAAATGTATCCGCTATCATTTCTTACATCCGACAATAACTTTTGAACATCTGATCGGCAGTTACTTATCTCAATTCCCGCTTCAACTTCGACTCATCTGCCCTGGAATCTTTCTGTAAATCTGACCCAATTTTCGGGCTACCCAAGAGGAAATGCCGACGTTACAGAGGCAAGAGAAGGGGATCCTGGCGAGATTAAGGTGAAGGGAGAACCGACCACCTCTTCCCTACATTCTACTGGCCAATGTACAGTTACTTGATAATAAGATGGATGACCTCCGATAGCAGCTTTGCTACCAACGGGACTCTCAAAATTGCAATATTCTCAGCTTCTCTGAAACATGGCTCTCAGACAAGATATTCTCCATTCACCGTGCCGACATGACAGTGAAGTTGTGGAAATCGAGGGAGGAAGGGGTTTGCCTCTTCATAAACAACAAATGGTGTGCTGACTTGAGCGCAGTAGAAGTGTTGACCCATTGTTCACTCGTCTTGGAATACCTGATGGTCAAATGCCGACCCTTTTACCTCCTGAGGGAGTTTTCAGCTATTATCGTGACTGTTGTATACATTCCACCTCAGGACAAGAAAAATAACACGCTGGCACTTAACGAACTGTACTAGGCTATAGCCAAGCAGGAAAACTGACATCCATACATTTACAAGCAGAAGCTCAAACAGGAATTACCATTGACTTGCTCTGTTGAGAAAATGGTCTCCAGAATCAGAGATGATGCTACAGGACTGCTTTGCTAGCGCTGACTGGAATATGTTTCGGGACTCCGCCGATAACATCGACGAGCTAACCACCTCCGTCACAGACTTCATTAGGAAATGCATCGGTGATGTTGTCCCCACAGTTAAGGTTCGCTGCTTCCCCAATCAAAATCCCTGGATTAACACTGAGGTTGGCACTAAACTAAAGGATAGGGCTACCGCAAACAACCATGAGGCTACGGCTGAGGACATGAAAAAGTACAAGCAGTCCCACTATGACCTCCGCAGAGTCATCAAACGAGCAAAAGGACAATATATGAATAAGGTGTCATGTTACACAGGCTCCGACGCCCGCTGCATGTGGCAGGGGCTACAGTCCATTACAGATTGCGAAGGAAGACCCAGCCATGATTTCCCCAATGATGCCTCACTACCAGACGAACTCAATGCATTTTATGCACGCTTTGACAATAACAACATCGTGCCGGGTGTGAGGGCTGCCACCAACACAGAAGATTAGGTGATCTCGCTCGCAGAGGCCGATGTAAGTAAAGTCTTTAATCAGGTCAATACCTGCAAGGCCGCGGGGCCCGATGGTATTCCAGGGCACGTTCTCAGAGCAGAACAACTGGCAGGTATATTCACGGTAATTTTAAATCTCTCCTTGTCCCCGTCTGAGATTCTTTTAAGATTACCACCATCATTCCTGTTCCCAAGAACTCTAATTCTTCATGCCACAATGACTACCACCCTGTAGCACTCACATCAGTAATCATGAAGTGCTTTGAGAGTCTGGTTATGGCACATATCAACTCCATCATCCCAGAACCCCTAAACCCACTGCAATTTGCATACCGCCCCAACGGATCCATAGACGACGCAATCTCAATTGCACTCCACTGCCCTCACCCACCTAGATAAGAGGAATACCTATGTGAGAATGCTGTTCATTGACCACAGCTCAGCGTTCAACACCATTTTCCCCTCCAAGCTCGTCACCAAGCTTAGGACCCTGGGAATGAACAACCCCCTCTGCAGCTGGGTCCTGGACTTCCTGACGGGCCGACCCCAGGTGTGAGGGTAGAAACATCACCTCTGCCTCGTTGACCCTCAACACAGGGGCTCCACAGGGGTGTGTGCTTAGTCCCCTCCTGTACTCCCTGTTCACCCACGACTGCGTGACCACGCACAACTCCAACACCATCACCATCATCAAGTTTGCTGACGACACAACTGTGGTAGCCTGATCACCAGCGACGATGAGACAGCCTACAGGGAGGAGGTTAGTGACCTGGCAGTGTGGGGCCGGAAACAACAACCTCTCCCTCAACATCAGTAAGACCAAGGAGCTGATCGTGGACTACAGGGAGGGGGGCGGTGCGGGGGGAGCACGCTTCTACCACATCGACTGGACTGCAGTGGAGCAGGTCGAGAGCTTCAAGTTCCTTGGAGTCCTAAATCACTAAGAACTTAAAATGGCCCACACACGCACAGTCAACCCCCTCAGGAGGTTGAAAAGGTTTGGCATGGGCCCTCAAATCCTTAAAAAGTTATACAGTTGTACCATCTTGACTGGCTGCATCACTGCTTGGTATGGCAATAGCACCGCCCTTCGATCGCATGGTTCTACAGAGGGTGGTGAGGATAGCCCAGTACATCACTGGGGCTGAGCTCCCTGCCATCCAGGACCTCTATATCAGGCGGTGTGAAAGGAAGGCCCGGAAAATTGTTAGACTCCAACCACCCAAGACCCATAGACTGTTCTCTCTGCTTCCGCACGGCAAGCGGTACTGATGCATCAAGTCTGACACCAACAGGTTCCTGAACAGCTTCTATCCCCATGCCATAACATTGCTAAATAGCTAACAAAATGGCTACACAGGCTATCTGAGTTTACCTTTTTGTATTTTATTCTTATTTTTGCGCTGTCTCTATGCACACTCACAGGGCCTTACACACTACACACACTGATACTCCAACACACATACAAACACTCCATCATTTGTTCACAGACACATAATATGCACATATATTTATACTGACTCTACACACACCCACTCACATGCAATAATCATATACGCTGCTAGTACTCTGTTTATCTTATAAATGCAACATGTAAAGTGTTGGTCCCATGTTTCATGAGCTGAAATAAAAGATCCCTGAAATTTTCCATATGCACAGAAATATAATTGATCTCAAATTTTGGGCACAAATTTGTTTACATCCCTGTTAGTGAGCTTTTCTCCTTTGCCAAGATAATCCATCCACCTGACAGGTGTGGCATATCAAGAAGCTGATTAAACAGCATGATCATTACACAGGTGCACCTTGTGCTGGGGACAATAAGGCCACTCTAAAATGTGCAGTTTTGTCACACAACACAATGCCACAGATGTTTCAAGTTTTGAGGGAACATGCAGTTGGCATGCTGACTGCAGGAATGTCCACCAGAGCAGTTGCCAGAGAATGTAATGTTAATTTATCTACCATATGCCGCCTCGTTTAAGAGAATTTGGCAGTACGTCCAACCAGCCTCACAACCGCAGACCACATTTAACCACGCCAGCCCAGGACCTCCACATCCGGCTTCTTCACCTGCGGGATCGTCTGAGACCAGCCACCCGGACAACTGATGAAACTGTGGGTTTGCAAAACTGAAGAATCTCTGCACAAACTCTCAGAAACCGTCTCAGGGAAGCTCTTCTGCATGCTCGTCGTCTCCACCAGGGTGTTGACCTGACTTTATCGTGTTCTTATTTTTATATCTAGTGTGTTTTTGTTCTACCTTGTTATATTTAGTATTACATTGTTATTGAATACTGCATTGTTGGAGTTAGCGCTAGCAAGAAAGGCATTTCACTGTGCTTTTGCATGTGACATTAGAACTTGAAACCCATTTAAAGTGAACATTCACCCCTCAATCAAAGTTTGTTCAATGTGTTCATACTTCAAAAGTAGTCCATAAACCACACCATCTGTTTAGATCCCACTGTATGTACTAGGAGAACATCTGCAGGACTTCAATTTTGAACTGTTCCCTTTTGAATTCCAGGGAAAGTTTTGATTGAGTAATGTACTATGCCCTGTAGGAACTACTGGAGAAGTCCAGTGAGCCCCTGTCCTTCATCATCTTCGTCCCGGAGTGGCGAGATCCACTAACCCCAGCCCTCAACCGCATGGAGACCAGCGCCTTCCGCCGCCACCAGATGTCGCTGCCCGCCTTCGAGCACGAGTACCGCAGCGGCTCGCAGCACATCTGCAAGAAGTGAGTGTGTCCAACGCCGCAGAGTCACTTCCATTGTTCTGACTAGGGTTGTCAAGATAACAGTATCGTGATACTTATAAGTATCATGGCAAAGAAACAAAACATGAAGCAGACTTAATTTCTTGATGAAAACCATCCTAATGCTGGAAACAAAGTATTGTGTTGTCAGCCAGAGTCACATTTGTTTATTCTTCAACCTATAGCACACAATATTTGACATACACTACCGTTCAAAAGTTTGGGGTCACTTAGAAATGTCCTTGTTTTCAAAAGAAAAGCATATTTTTTTGTCCATTTAAAATAACATCAAATTGATCAGAAAGAGTGTAGACATTGTTAATGTTGTAAATGGCTATTTTTTATGTAATATCCACATAGGCGTACAGAGGCCCATTATCAGCAACCATCAGTCCTGTATTCCAATGGCACGTTGCGTTTGCTAATCCAAGTTTATCATTTTAAAAGGCTAATTGATCATTAGAAAACCCTTTTGCAATTATGTTAGCACAGCTGAAAACTGTTGTGCTGATTAAAGAAGCAATAAAACTGGCCTTCTTGAGACTAGTTGAGTATCTGGAGCATCAGCAATTGTGGGTTCGATTACAGGCTCAAAATGGCCAGAAACAAATAACTTTCTTCTGAAACTCGTCAGTCTATTCTTGTTCTGAGAAATGAAGGCTATTCCATGTGAGAAATTGCCAAGAAACTGAAGATCTCGTACAACGCTGTGTACTACTCCCTTCACAGAACAGCTCAAACTGGCTCTAACCAGAATAGAAAGAGGAGTGGGAGGCCCCGGTGCACAACTGAGCAAGAGGACAAATACATTAGTGTCTAGTTTGAGAAACAGACGCCTCACAGGTCCTCAACTGGCAGCTTCATTAAATAGTACCCGCAAAACACCAGTCTCAACGTCAACAGTGAATAGGCGACTCTGGGATGCTGACCTTCAGAGTTGCAAAGAAAAAGCCATATCTCAGACTGGCCAATAAAAATAAAATATTAAGATGGGCAATAGAACACACACTGGACTTTTTCTTTGCAACTCTGTCTAGAAGGTCAGAATCCCAGAGTCGCCTCTTCACTGTTGATGTTGAGACTGATGTTTTGAGGGTACTATTTAATGAAGCTGCCAGTTGAGGACCTGTGAGGCGTCTGTTTCTCAAACTAGACACTAATGTATTTGTCCTCTTGCTCAGTTGTGCACTGGTGTTTTGCGGGTGAATTCATAAAAAATAAAAAGGAGAACGCCGCACACTGCTGGTCTTGTGATTTTATTATAAGATTTCGACCCTTAGGTCTTCATCAGGCATCCATATCCCAGTTGGGGTGGAAGGTCCTATATATAGGGGCAGCACTCAGTGACATCCCTTCCTGAAACAGGAGGTAAAAATATAAGAGGTTCACAATATCAACAATAAATGTATCAAACTATATGACCATACACAAGGAATGTGAACAATAATTACAGTTTTATATACTGGTACTGTGTGTATACAGTGAGGGGAAAAAAGTATTTGATCCCCTGCTGATTTTGTACGTTTGCCCACTGACAAAGACATTGATCAGTCTATACTTATAATGGTAGGTTTATTTGAACAGTGAGAGACAGAATAACAACAACAAAATGACAAACGCATGTCAACAACCTTCTCACGAAGCTGCTTGGCGATGGTCTTGTAGCCCAATCCAGCCTTGTGTAGGTCTATAATCTTGTCCCTGACATCCTTGGAGAGCTGGGAGGCAATTACTTTTTCACACAGGGGAATTGGGTGTTGCATAACTTTGTTTATGAAATAAATATGTAATTGTTGTGTTATTTGTTCACTTATGTTCCGTTTATCTAATATTAGGTTTTGGTTGAAGATCTGCTAATTCAGTATCACAAATATGCAAAAGTAGAGAAAATTAGAAAGGGGGCAAATACTTTTTCATAGCACTGTGTATGTATGTATGTATATGTATATATATATATATATATATATATATATATATATATATATACACATACAGTGGGGAGAACAAGTATTTGATACACTGCCGATTTTGCAGGTTTTCCTACTTACAAAGCATGTAGAGGTCTGTAATTTTTATCATATGTACACTTCAACTGTGAGAGACGGAATCTTAAAACAAAAATCCAGAAAATCACATTGTATGATTTTTAAGTAATTAATTTGCATTTTATTGCATGACATAAGTATTTGATACATCAGAAAAGCAGAACTTAATATTTGGTACAGAAACCTTTGTTTGCAATTACAGAGATCATACGTTTCCTGTAGGTCTTGACCAGGTTTGCACACACTGTAGCAGGGATTTTGGCCCACTCCTCCATACAGACCTTCTCCAGATCCTTCAGGTTTCGGGGCTGCCGCTGGGCAATACGGACTTTCAGCTCCCTCCAAAGATGTTCTATTGGGTTCAGGTCTGGAGACTGGCTAGGCCACTCCAGGACCTTGAGATGCTTCTTACGGAGCCACTCCTTAGTTGCCCTGGCTGAGTGTTTCGGGTCATTGTCATGCTGGAAGACCCAGCCACGACCCATCTTCAATGCTCTTACTGAGGGAAGGAGGTTGTTGGCCAAGATCTCGCGATACATGGCCTCATCCATCCTCCCCTCAATATGGTGCAGTCGTCCTGTCCCCTTTGCAGAAAAGCATCCCCAAAGAATGATGTTTCCACCTCCATGCTTCACGGTTGGGATGGTGTTCTTGGGGTTATACTCATCCTTCTTCTTCCTCCAAACACGGCGAGTGGAGTTTAGACCAAAAAGCTATATTTTTGTCTCATTAGACCACATTACCTTCTCCCATTCCTCCTCTGGATCATCCAGATGGTCATTGGCAAACTTCAGACGGGCCTGGACATGCGATGGCTTGAGCAGGGGGACCTTGCGTGCGCTGCAGGATTTTAATCCATGATGGCGTAGTGTGTTACTAATGGTTTTCTTTGAGACTGTGGTCCCAGCTCTCTTCAGGTCATTGACCAGGTCCTGCCGTGTAGTTCTGGGCTGATCCCTCACCTTCCTCATGATCATTGATGCCCCACGAGGCGAGATCTTGCATGGAGCCCCAGACCGAGGGTGATTGACCGTCATCTTGAACTTCTTCCATTTTCTAATAATTTTGCCAACGGTTGTTGCCTTCTCACCAAGCTGCTTGCCTATTGTCCTGTAGCCCATCCCAGCCTTGTGCAGGTCTACAATTTTATCCCTGATGTCCTTACACAGCTCTCTGGTCTTGGCCATTGTGGAGAGGTTGGAGTCGGTTTGATTGAGTGTGTGGACAGGTGTCTTTTATACAGGTAATGAGTTCAAACAGGTGCAGTTAATACAGGTAATGAGTGGAGAACAGGTCAGGTCTGTGAGAGCCGGAATTCTTATGGTTGGTAGGTGTCAAATTTATGTCAAGCATAAAATGCAATTATTACTTAAAAATCTACGTGATTTCTGGATTTTATTTAGATTCGTCTAGTGAAGTGTACCTATATAAAATTACAGACCTCTACAGCTTGTAAGTAGGAAACCGCAAATCATGTATAATACTTGTCCCCCATGTGTGTGTGTATAGTATGTATGTATGTATGTATGTGTGTTGTGTGTGTGTGTGTGTGTGTGTGTGGGTGTGTGTGTGTGATATATGATATCATAATACCATACATACATCATACTACTAATACAATACACACCCACACACACAGTGGGAGAACAAGTATTTGATACACTGCCGATTTTGCAGGTTTTCCTACTTACAAAGCATGTAGAGGTCTGTAATTTTTATAATAGGTACACTTCAACTGTGGGAGACGGAATCTAAAATAAAAATCCAGAAAATCACGTATGATTTTTAAGTAATTAATTTGCATTTTATTGCTTGACATAAGTATTTGATCACCTACCAACCAGTAAGAATTCCCCCTGAGGGATCTCCTCCCAGACCTGGACTAAAGCATCCGCCAACTCCTGGACAGTCTGTGGTGCAACGTGGCGTTGGTGGATGGAGCGAGACATGATGTCCCAGATGTGCTCAATTGGGATTCAGGTCTGGGGAACGGCGGGCCAGTCCATAGCATCAATGCCTTCCTCTTGCAGGAACTGCTGACACACTCCAGCCACATGAGGTCTAGCATTGTCTTGCATTAGGAGGAACCCAGGGCCAACCGCACCAGCATATGGTCTCACAAGGGGTCTGAGGATCTCATCTCGGTACCTAATGGCAGTCAGGCTACCTCTGGCGAGCACATGGAGGGCTGTGCGGCCCCCCAAAGAAATGCCACCCCACACCATGACTGACCCACCGCCAAACCGGTCATGCTGGAGGATGTTGCAGGCAGCAGAACGTTCTCCACGGCGTCTCCAGACTCTGTCACGTCTGGCACATGTGCTCAGTGTGAACCTGCTTTCATCTGTGAAGAGCACAGGGCGCCAGTGGCGAATTTGCCAATCTTGGTGTTCTCTGGCAAATGCCAAACGTCCTGCACGGTGTTGGGCTGTAAGCACAACCCCCACCTGTGGACGTCGGGCCCTCATACCACCCTCATGGAGTCTGTTTCTGACCGTTTGAGCAGACACATGCACATTTGTGGCCTGCTGGAGGTCATTTTGCAGGGCTCTGGCAGTGCTCCTCCTGCTCCTCCTTGCACAAAGGCGGAGGTAGCGGTCCTGCTGCTGGGTTGTTGCCCTCCTACGGCCTCCTCCACGTCTCCTAATGTACTGGCTTGTCTCCTGGTAGCGCCTCCATGCTCTGGACACTACGCTGACAGACACAGCAAACCTTCTTGCCACAGCTCGCATTGATGTGCCATCCTGGATGAGCTGCACTACCTGAGCCACTTGTGTGGGTTGTAGACTCCGTCTCATGCTACCACTAGAGTGAAAGCACCGCCAGCATTTAAAAGTGACCAAAACATCAGCCAGGAAGCATAGGAACTGAGAAGTGGTCTGTGGTCACCACCTGCAGAACCATTTCTTTATTGGGGGTGTCTTGCTAATTGCCTATAATTTCCACCTGTTGTCTATTCCATTTGCACAACAGCATGTGACATTTATTGTCAATCAGTGTTGCTTCCTAAGTGGACAGTTTGATTTCACAGAAGTGTGATTGACTTGGAGTTACATTGTGTTGTTTAAGTGTTCCCTTTATTTTTTTGAGCAGTGTATATATATATATATATACACACACACACACCGAAGACATCAAAACTATGAAATAACACATATCGAATCATGTAGTAACCAAAAAAGTGTTAAACAAATCAAAATATATGTTATATTTGAGATTCTTTAAATAGCCACCCTTTGCCTTGATGACAGCTTTGCACACTCTTGGTCTTAAGTCTATGTCCTGTGCTGGGGTAGGTAAATGAGTCACATTTATACGTGAAACTGTATTGTGATAACCTCAGTTCTGATTGCCCAAGTTGCCCTTTCGAAAAGGACGCTCCTGGATGCACCCTGAATAGGACACTAGCGTAGTTGCAGTCTAGTTGGAGTTTAAATGTCTTTCTCTCCGTTTCTTTCTCAGGGAGGAGATGTACTACAAGGCAGTCCAAGGCACGGCGGTCATCTTCCTGCAGAATGCCGCCGGCTTCGCCAAGTGGGAGCCCACGCCGGAGCGCATCCAGGAGCTGCTGGCAGCCTACCAGGTCTCCCAGCGAACCTTGGGCTCCCCAGTCCCCTCATCCACCTCCTCTGCGCCCACTACGCCCTCCCCAGCCAGTGCGGGGGGGTCGGGCAACAAAGACTCTACTGCCGCCAAGACGGCACCTGAGCGATCGGCCAGTTTGGACACATCACCCTCTAGCCAGGAAAACAGCAGTAGTGGTGGTAGTAGTGCTCTGGAAAATACTACGCCACCATCCGAGGCAGCCAGCATTTAAAAGGAGGGGAGGGGACATGGGTGAAAGTAGAGTGCGTTTTAGGGATGGGGGAGGGGGGAGAGGGACTCTACAACTGGTGCTGAGAGAGTGGGGTGTGAGGATTTGGCCCTGGACTGCTCGGGCGCTAGGGTAGCCTACGAAGGAGGGCCTCCCCCCTAAAATCGGTTTACTTTCTCTGCCTCGACTATTTCATATTAGTTCTACTAGGTTTTTATGATTCTGGTCATTATTTACTGTAGTATCTCTCATTGCATTTTATTAATGTAGCTAGTGGTAGCGGTACTAGGATTCCCTTTTCTATCATTGTTGCTGTCGTCGTCAGTCATTTTGGGTAATTCCATTCCTTGTTCATTGGCCTTTTGCTGGCACCCTGGGAATAGGGTGCCATTTGGAACATACATTGTCATCTGCTCCCGGACAGCAGGACTTGGCTGTCAGTTTTGACGTGTGGAATTGAAAAAAAGTCCTTGGAAAAGTGTTGTTGTTTTGTTTGTCCAAATCCCCTCTATCCCTTACAGACGGGAGATGTGTCGTTGGGTGATAAGGCAGCTATGTTTCTAAGCCTACAAACAGTTTAGAGGCAATCCTTGTACATAGGACAGCCATCAGTAAGTTAGAGCAGGGTTTCCCAAGTTCGGTCCTGCTCCCCCCGGGGTGAACGTTTTGGTTTTTGCCCTAGCAGGACATTCAAATAATCAAAGCGTGATAATGAGTTGGATGTTTGAATCAGCTGTGTAGTGCTAGGGCAAAAACCAAAACGTGCACCCAGGGGGGAGCCCAGGACCGAGTTTGGAAAACCCTCAGAGTATTGAATGAGAGAGATTGAGGGCTTTGAAGACATTGCATTTCTTTGTGGACTATTGTTATGCAGTTCACACATACCACAAAGTAGTAGTTCCATATTGGCCAAGTCTCTGCACCGTTTCCATATCTGCACCGTTTCCATATCTGCACCGTTTCCATATCTGCATTTTTTTATCGATAAATGCAAATACACAGGCCATTAATACATCTTACAATTGCAATATGTTGTAAACCATTAGTAAGCATTGGCTCGAACAACAGCTGAATTACTATGCCTTTCCCCCTGCGCTGTGTGTAAATCCAAAACAACTGCAAAATGTGTTAAACTGGCTTGTTGAGCAAAATACAGTACGTCCCTTCGCTTATAACCCTATCCACTTCTCTAAAATACGGAAAAGCACTAAATGAAATAATACCTGATGTAAATTATACCCATGTTAAACATAATTTGGGGGAATTCTGTGATTGTGTTCAACCTGGTTGCATTATTTTCACATTGTAGTGCGTGGTATGGCATGAAACATAGAATAGTTATGTTGTTTTTAATCCCTCAATCTCAATTGTATATTTTTATATGTTTACACCAGTATGAGATTAGAACGCATCACTGGGCAGCACAATGAATGTACATTTTTAAAAGGCAAAACAGAAGGTCAACGTTGCGTCCCACATGTCACCATCTTCCCTATGTAGTGCACTACTTTTGACTAGGGCTTATAGGGCTCTGGTCAAAAGTAGTGCACTATGTAGGGAATAGGGTGCCATTAGGGACACCGTCAAAGCGACTCGCCTCAGTCATCTAGCCGAGAGAATAAATGTATAAAAATTTGAGAAGTTACAAATGTTTATTGTACAATTCCTTCATTATATGACTAATTGTCTCTGTCCTTGTAAACTATGATCATCACGCACTACTATGCCATCTCAGCATAAAGTCTTATCTATAGTCTGAATGCTTGTACAATGAGTTTAGGCATAAGTTTCTTACTAGATATCATCACTTGCCTTTGCCCCATTTGTATATACTTAGGATTGAGGTTTTTATAGATAACTAATTAGGCATGGGGCTGGAGGATAAGGTTATGTTTATGCTGTTGCAAATGTATGATGGTTGTCTTGCTCTTTGAACATAATACTTACTACAGGAAGTTTGGCATCGCGCCCAACAACCTGGAGACAAACTCTAGCCATTCGTTCTTCGTCATTTGAGCATTGATCACCAGTCACATACCCTGATCCTAGTATGTTTCTGTCACCAGCAAAACAAAGTGTAGATATTGTACAGAAAATTGGTATGAAGTACGTGTTATTTTTCTCTATGCTACACAATTGTATTGAACTCTAATAGCAAAAATAATAATTGTATGTTGTCTGTTTATCCATGATTTTTTTATTTGAGTTAATTTAACATAATTTAAGATAAATCTGTTTATGTATTATACAGTTTATTACATAGAAATTGTTTTAAACTAAACCAAAGTGTTATTAAAAGAAATAAATATATATTGTATGTAAAAGTAGACGTGTGTATAATTGCATTAGTAATGCTTAAGGTGTAACCAGCAAAATTACTACTTGAGTTTATTTTTATAATTCTATTTTTTTGTTCTGGTAAGAGCAGATTTTATGTTTGGAATTTATTTTGCATGACACTTTTGACACTTAAATCATAACAAATATATTTGTATTCTTAAATCTGTTCATAGATTTTTTACATAAAGGATGAGTATGAATACATTCATTTATCCCTATCGGTTTACCCTTATGGTCATTTATTGTCTGTAGATCGTCTGTAATACCATAAATGTTTTTCTCAATGTGATTCCTATGGGAAAGAACCAGGAGAATGTAAATACTGTATGTGCTGAATTCATTCAGTTCCCTAGTCTCCTCTGAGTAAATTATCAATGTTGTGACATATACTCTCCATTGGAACCAGCATAGAGATGCACTGAATCACATTTGCTCCCAGTAAAATGTGTCAAACTATGTATGTTATTTGCATTTCTAATAAACTAGCACACCATAGTTATAGTTTTCAGGCTCTCTTCAAGATGCTGATTTATCTGCTGACATCCCATGTTTTGGGCTTTGAACCATAATTTGAACAGCTCTCACACAGACTTAAAAATATTAGATACCATAGTTTTTCCATTCCCCTTACAGTGCATTCGGAAAGTATTCAAACCCCTTCACTTTTTTTTTTAAACGTTACAGCCTTATTCTAAAACTTATTAAATTAATGGTTTTCCTCATCAATCTACAGTCGTGGTCAAAAGTTTTGAGAATGACACAAGTATTGGTTTTCACAAAGTTTGCTGCTTCAGTGTTTTTAGTATAATTACAAGCATTCCATAAGTGTCAAAGGCTTTTATTGACAATTAAATTAAGTTTATGCAAAGAGTCAATATTTGCAGTGTTGACCCTTCTTTTTCAAGACCTCTGCGATCCGCCCTGGCATGCTGTCAATTAACTTCTGGGCCACATCCTGACTGATGGCAGCCCATTCTTGCATAATCAATGCTTGGAGTTTGTCAGAATTTGTGGGGTTTTGTTTGTCCACCCGCCACTTGAGGATCGACCATAAGTTCTCAATGGGATTAAGGTCTGGGGAGTTTCCTGGCCATGGACCCAAAATGTCAATGTTTTGTTCCCCGAGCCACTTAGTTATCACTTTTGCCTTATGGCAAGGTGCTCCATCATGCTGGAAAAGGCATTGGTCGTCATTAAATTGTTCTTGGATGGTTTGGAGAAGTTGCTCTCTGAGGATGTGTTGGTACCATTCTTTATTCATGGCTGTGTTCTTAGGCAAAATTGTGAGTGAGCTCACTCCCTTGGCTGAGAAGCCACCCCACACATGAATGGTCTCAGGATGCTTTACTGTTGGCATGACACAGGACTGATGGTAGCGCTCACCTTGTCTTCTCCGGACAAGCTTTTTTCCGGATGCCCCAAACAATCGGAAAGGGGATTCATCAGAGAAAATGACTTTACCCCAGTCCTCAGCAGTCCAATCCCTGTACCTTTTGCAGAATATCAGTCTGTCCCTGATGTTTTTCCTGGAGAGAAGTGGCTTCCTCGCTGCCCTTCTTGACACTAGGCCATCCTCCAAAAGTATTTGCCTCACTGTGCGTGCAGATGCACTCACACCTGCCTGCTGCCATTCCTGAGCAAGCTCTGCACTGGTGGTGCCCTGATCCCGCAGCTGAATCAACTTTAGGAGACAGTCCTGGCGCTTGCTGGATTTTCTTGGGTGCCCTGAAGCCTTCTTCACAACAATTGATCCTTTCTCCTTGAAGTTCTTGATGATCCGATAATTGGTTGATTTAGGTGCAATCTTACTAGCAGCAATATCCTTGCCTGTGAAGCCCTTTTTGTGCAAAGCAATGATGACGGCACGTGTTTCCTTGCAGGTAACCATGGTTAACAGAGAAAGAACAACGATTTCAAGCACCACCCTCCTTTTAAAGCTTCCAGTCTGTTATTCTAACTCAATCAGCATGACAGAGTGATCTCCAGCCTTGTCCTCATCAACACTCTCACCTGTGTTAACGAGATAATCACTGACATGATGTCAGCTGGTCCTTTTGTGGCAGAGCTGAAATGCAGTGGAAATGTTTTTTGAGGATTAAGTTCATTTTCATGGCAAAGAGGGACTTTGCAATTAATTGCAATTCATCTGAACACTCTTCATAACATTCTGGAGTATATGCAAATTGCCATCATAAAAACTGAGGCAGCAGACTTTGTGAAAATTAATATTTGTGTCATTCTCAAAACGTTTGACCACGACTATACACACAATACCCCATAATGACAGTGAAAACAGGTTTTTAGACATTTTTGCAAATGTATTAAAAACAGATACCTTATACATAAGTATTCAGACCCTTTGCTAAGAGACTCGAAATAGAGCTCATCCTTGAGATTTTTCTACAACTTAATTGGAGTCCACCTGTGGTAAATTCAATTGATTGGACATGATTTGGAAAGGCACACACTTGTCTATATAAGGTCCCACAGTTGACAGTGCATGTCAGAGCAAAAACCAAGCCATGAGGTCGAAGGAATTGTCCGTAGAGGTCCGAGACAGGATTGTGTCGAGGCACAGATCTGGAGAAGGGTACCAAAAAATGTCTGCAGCATTGAAGGTCCCCAAGAACACAGTGGCCTCCATCATTCTTAAATGGAAGAAGTTTGGAACCACCAAGACTCTTCCTAGAGCTGGCCGCCCGGCCAAACTGAGCAATCGGGGGAGAAGGGCCTTGGTCTGGGAGGTGACCAAGAACCCGATAGTCACTGACAGGGCTCCAGAGTTCCTCTGTGGAGATGGGAGAACCTTCCAGAAGGACTCCCACCAATCAGGCCTTTAGTAAAAGTAAAAGGCACATGACAGCCCGCTTAGAGTTTGCCAAAAGGCACCTAAAGACTCTCAGACCATAAGAAACAAGATTCTCTGGTCTGACGAAACCAAGATTGAACTGAATGCCAAGTGTCACGTCCTGTGGAAATCTGGCACCATCCCTACGGTGAAGCATGGTGGTGGCAGCAGCATGCTGTGGGGATGATTTTCAGCGGCAGGGACTGGGAGACTAGTCAGGATCGAGGGAAAGATGAACGGAGCAAAGTACAGAGAGATCCTTGATGAAAACCTGCTCCACCTTCCAACAGGACAACGACCCTAAGCATACAGCCAAGACAATGCAGGAGTGGCTTCGGGACAGGTCTCTGAATGTCTTTGAGTGGCCCAGCCAGAGCCCGGACTTGAACCCGATCGAACATCTCTGGAGAGACCTGAAAATAGCTGTGCAGCGACTCTCTCCATCCAACTTGACAGAGCTTGAGAGGACCTGCAGAGAAGAATGAGAGAAACTCCCCAAATACAGGTGTGCCAAGCTTCATACCCAAGAAGACTCAAGGCTGTAATCGCTGCCAAAGGTGCTTCCACAAAGTACTGAGTAAAGGGTCAGAATACTTAAGTAAATGTGATATCTGTTGTTTTACATATCTCTTTTTTATTCCTCTTTTTATTTATTTTTTACTTTTACCCCCTTTTCGTGATATCCAATTGGTAGTTACAGTCTTGTCCCATCGCTGCAACTCCCGTACGGACTCGGGTGAGGCGAAGGTCGAGAGCCATGCGTCCTCCGAAACACAACCCTGCCAAGCCGCACTGCTTCTTGACACACTGCTCGCTTAACCCGGAAGCCAGCCTCACCAATGTGTCGGAAGAAACCCCGTACAACTGGCGACCGAGGTCAGCTTGCAGGTGCCCGGCCCGCCACAAGGAGTCGCTAGTGCACGATGGGACAAGGACATCCCGGCCAGCCACACCCTCCCCTAACCCGGACGACGCTGGGCCAATTGCGCGCCGCCTCATGGGTCTTCCGGTCACGGCTGGCTGTGACAGTCTGTGATCGAACCCTGGTCTGTAGTGACATCTCAAGCAGTGCGATACAGTGCCTTAGACCGCTGCGCCACTAGGGAGGCCCTCTGGTTTTTATTTTTAATAAATTTGCTAACATTTCTAAAAACCAGTTTTTGCTTTGTCATTATGGGGTATATTATGTGTAAATGAGTGGAATTGATGAGGGGGAAAACAATTTAATCCATTTTAGAATAAGGCTGTAATGTAACAAAATGTGGAAAAAGTCAAGGGGTCTGAATACTTTCCGAATGCACTGTATATATCACCAAATATTTTGTAGAACTAACCCAGCCTGTCCTTTCTAATGGGAGCGAATTAATCATAGTGGGCAGAACAAGCAAGGGGATGGGCAGAGCCAAGATCGAGCTAGCGATTGGCGCGTTCTAGCATATTTGCATATTTATCTTAGGGAACACGTACTCTGAAGTGCAATAACTCAGTTTGGCGTTGTTTAAGACTACAAGGCATCTTTTTTAAATGTTGGAAAAGGGTCAAGTCTACAAAACGTAGTCCACTCTGTTCGTAACATATTCTAGTTTTAGGAACAGAAAACTGTATTGAGATCAAACGTTTATCGATGGGAAAATTAGCATAATGTAGGCCAAAATCCATCTCGCGCGATTTCTCCTACTGCCGGCCACTGGGCTTCCTCATCACCATATTTGGTGGTGAGTAGAAATGCCAACCGGATGCTTAATACTTATATCCGGTGAAACATCTGGCTCATTGTTCTATCTGTGATATTACTTTGGGGAAGGAAAAGCGTATACTGTCATGGTAGTCACTACAATCTGAATGTTACGAGCCAATATGCACCCAGTAAGGTGTTATTCCTAGATGAAAAACAGGTGACAGCAGAGCGGAATAGTCGGTATATTCCAAAATATTTGGTGATCGTCATAAATTGCTGCTGGAAGCCCCTACAAAGATGGCGGCTGCAATGGTTTATAAGCCGTCGTCACACGAACACGCTTTTACGCGTGCGCTGAATAGATTTTGGTACCTCCCGTACAATAGATGGCAGTAATATGTTCGTTTTGGTTTCTAGAAACCACATCCTCTAAGTCAAACAAACATTGTGCGGTTAGAAGAGGAGACTTGCTTTTGATGCTGGAATGTTTTGTAAAAAGTTACTCAAGTAAGTAACGAATTTAGAAAAGCATCCAGTCTTATTTAGGACAAACATATTTCAGATCAAAGCGCAATTTGAGAATTGTCCACTTCTGCAACAGCGTCGAGACGGACAGAGAAAAGTTTTCCTGGTCGCTGTCTTCAACTAGCAAGCTACCGCGAGGATCTATTCAATCATCACACCCCAGACTGTTGTCTTCAAATTAATACTTGCTAAATGGGTGCTCATCGAAGTGAGGGACGGAGGGATTGGCTTCAACAAGATGCTGTTGAACAGCCGCCCATACAAACTATGGTGAGCACTAAGCTAAGCATGCATTACAAATAATACTTTCTTACGAATTGTGATTGCTAGACAGTCATGTTACGATAAAGTGCACAACTGAGTCTTCTTAAATGTGCTTCTATCTGGCTAGCTATCGCAGATTGACAGCTCGAGCTCATTCCTCAACTCTTCCGTGGAAGCGAGGTGATGATGTCATGCGATTGTAATTTCTACAGTTTATAGGCAGGGTATACACTACAAGTTTCTTTCGTCCCAGACGAATTTTCATAAGCGGGGTGAAATCCTAAGAACTTGAGCTAGGATCAGTACGTCGGGACTCTCGTAGTTTTGAGAGCACCGATGATGAGTGTTCCGTTCTCCAGATCCCTGTCGTATGTCCCGATAATGCTTAGCTGTGGTATATTGTCCATATACCACACCCCCTCGGGCCTTATTGCTTAAATATCTACCTGCCCCAGGATCTGTGCGTTAGAGATGTTGAAGATCAGCCTCCCGAGTGGTGCAGTGGTCTAAGCCACTGCATCGCAGTGCTAGCTGTGCCACTAGAGATCCTGGTTCGAATCCAGGCTCTGTCGTAGCCGGCCGCGACCGGGAGACCCATGGGGTGGCGCATAATTGGCCCTGCGTCGTCCAAGGTAGGGGAGGGAATGGCCGGCAGGGATGTAGCTCAGTTGGTAGTTAGCCAGGGTTGTGGGTTCAATTCCCACGGGGGGCCAGTATGAAACAAATTAAATAAAACATAATAATGTATGCACTCACCAACTGTAAATCGCTCTGGATTAGAGCGTCTGCTAAATGACTAAAATGTAAAATGTGTCTCCAATGCCCAGGAAGCTCCTATTCAAACTCCCTTTAGACAGCTTTGCAAGCGTTGTAATGTCAATATAGGTTAGTTACTCACCAAATATGGAGTTTCACTGAGCAACTATCTCCATTTACTCCCATTACGGCCGGTATGTACTTCCAAAAAAGGTCTAAACAAAAATTTACCAAGCATCCCAAAAAATGCCTATTCTGCACTTCCAATGTAAATCACTCATTACTGCTACGCACAGGTCGGACATCTACAACAGCTAACAGGTCTGCTAACAGACCTGAGCCCTACTGGACCGACATCATACGTTACATTGTACATCGGGTTAGGGTCGGATAGGGCTTGTTTTTTCATCAATAACAAAGGTACGGGCAGGGCTTGGGTATCACTAAATTGATCGCTAACATTTTGAAGCTGAGCCATTTACGCATTCTCTGCGGCTCAGGACAGTCATATCTGACTAAGATCATAACATGGTGTCAGAAGTGCTTCAACCTCATCAAATATAAGACAGGAAGTTTAGAGAGACAACGTAGCTAACGGCTAACTGCGGTCTCGTGTCTCTTCATTGAGCAGACAGCCCAAGTGGAGCTGTTGCTATGGATACTCAGACTCAGAGCTGCCATGAGCAGAGCGAGCTGGCTGCGTGCAGGGAGTGAGTGATAGACAGAGGAGCAGCTAATGGATTTACTAACAGAGGAAGTTATTTCTGATTTCAGGCAGGGCCTTAAATTTGGCATAAGCAATCATGCCAGGGTAGGGTAGGGCCTGAATGTCGTGGGCATAGGTAATGCTCAGGCTTAAAATTCATGCCCGTGCAGGGCTCTAATTGGAGGTGCCGAAGAGGCGTTCTTTCGTTTGCTTGTACATCTTTATGTAGACCGTAACGAGAGTAAATGAAAGATAGTTGCTCAGCTAAACTCCATATTTGGTGAGTAACAAACTTATTTTGACAACGCTGGCAGAGCTGTCTAATGGGAGTTTGAATCGGAGCTTCCCGGGTGTTAGAGATTAGACACGTCATACTCATCGTTGACATCTCTAACGCACAGATACTGGGGCGATATCTACCTAGTATTTAAGATGTCCCTTAATGTACTGGAATGTGTGAATCAACATAGCCTTATTCATGTGATGAGAATGTGATGATGACTCTGCTTCATGCAGTGACTCACTCTGGTGATGGCCTAAACTCACCAAAGGCGAGTGTGCGAGGCGTGTGTGATTTATTTGAGATTAGAATGCAGTGTTTTGAATTATAATGACCTAACTGAACCCGGGCGGGGTTGTCCGCTTTGACGCTTCACTCAATTAAAATGTCTGTTTTTGTGTTTTATGGCTGACTCTGTGCATCCTTTGCCTCTTCTTCCAGAATCCATGGAACATCATGATAAAACACAGACAGGTCCATCGCAGGGGCAGACGCTCACAGATGACCATGAGGTAAATTGACTGACTGTTAAAGGGATAGTTCACTCAAACACATTTTTAGTATTTTGTTAATTAGTCCACTTTTAATAGTAATACAATACCAAATATTGTGCATGTCAGCAGTCAAGTTTAAGATATTGCATTTTTAGTACAGAGCAAAAACTGTGATGATTTGTTTTGTGAGAATGACTTCACAGACATATTTTCCAAACGTTGTGATATAGCTAATCTATTCACTTTCTTTGTCTATCTAGCTACACAGATCCTGTTATATCCATGGACCTCCTCCGAACGGTTCTACAGCCCAGCTTCAATGAGGACATTATGGGAGTGTTCAGAAAATACATGAAGGTGAGTCTGCTGGATATATTCTCTTCCAACTTCCATTCATTGGAAATGGCAATTATCCCATTGCTAAGTGAATATCTCCTCGCAGTGCGTACTCTCATGACTTGCATTTGTTTACTCATAACTTCAACTATCGTAATTCTCTCGAGGGGATTTGATCAAATGTTGAATCCTTACTCAACACAGCTTCCATATTGAACATGTTTGTTTTGTGTGCACCAGCTCATGCTTTTTATTAGCCATCTTTAATAGTACCTTTTCATATGATTTAACGAGAGCGCGGAATGGTTTACACCCTTAACAAATCTGAAATGTAAACTAACAAAGTCACTACTTTGCCATTGATATGCTCAAATACTTTGGCATTTACTTGCCTCTGAAATGTGACTCCTTTCTTCTGTGGAGAGCGGTCTTCATAGTATGACTTTCTTTACCGCAGTTCTTCGAGAAAGCAGCCAGCAACGTCAAGGAGAACGTCGGGGACGACGTTCAGACCGACCAGCTGATCCGAGAAGCCTGCAGAAACTGTCTGGAAAATGTAAGAAAGCAGCTAAATGTATTTTAAAGAAGTATCTCTGTGTAGATTGTGTGGTTAACACGCAGAGACGTCTATGTGTAATGTTCATTTCCTGTCCCCTGTCAGGCCAAACATCTCTTCTCAGACGGGGAGAAAGCGGCAGTCGCAAGAACAGGGCCTGAGCCTCCAGTCAAGGTAAAGGAAGGTTTTAAATGAGTGAAGAGAACGATGTCTCTTTCTCAATCCATCTTTCCTCGATTCCTCGCAAAGTGCATTTGAGGAGAGGGCCTTAACTTCTCCTCCATTATGGTTGAGAAGGAGGTGAGGAGATAGGATGCAAGGGATTGCAGAAATACTTATCTAGATAGAGCCCAAGTCTCATATAAATGAAGTTGTCACATAAGTGAAGTTGTTTTAATGTGAACATGATACACTGATTCACGCTTCCAACAAGTTATGTTGTTATTTGAAAGTGAGGATGCTGGCTGGAAGTATGAATGATTGATTTCCTCATTGCATTAGTCTTATTGCCTCTAAAACATAAATAGAGTTATTGGAGGGGAAGTAGAGAACGCTATCGCTGTCACTTCCATCTCAGCGACAATATCTATTTTCTTACAGCGGGTGAAACTGGAGGATGAGTCCAGTCAAAGGGCCAGCCCTATTCCAAAAAAGGTAACCTAGTCTGCCCTTCTTGTAGAATAAACTTTTAGACTTCATCAAAATAATAAACGTACCCAAAACCCAGAGTAACTGACAATATGGTAATGTATTTTCTTCCAGCGGAAAGGGCGCCCAACCGCTCCTGTCGGTTCTTACGACAAACCTGTTACATATAGCAATGCGTGAGTGTGTGCTCCTGTTCGACAAGACATGGTTTCACCTTTCTGCCAGTGAACAGTTGTTTTCTTTGTCAAAACCTACGCAAAATACAAGTAAAAGCACTGATGCATGAATGCTCAAACTCCAATTCACATATAAGTGATGGTAGTTAGTCGTCCCACATCTCAGCAATGTATATCAAGCTTAAGTTGAATATTCAAACATGTATGCTGTAAAATGCCATGATTCATATGCATGTTCACCCAGCATATTCCACTGTTCTGTAGGCCCAGGCCCAAGACATTGGAGTCTGTAAAGCGTGAGGGACCAAAGGTGAGAGTTTGTTAATGCATTTATTAATTAGCCTATATTTCATAGTTCTGTGATAGTCATCGATCGATTACCATGGAACTAAAACTAATTTCTCTCATGCATTCTAATATTTCAAAATATTTCCTTTTTGGATGAAATCAAGATTAAAAGTAGGTAGTTTGTTAATATTATGTCCCATTGATTTGAGTATGATTCCTTTTCTCTATACAATCAATTTATATTCTACAGTGGGACCCTTCCAGACTGAATGAAGAAAGCACATTTGTTCTTGGGTCCAGAGCAAATAAGTAAGTGGAAATTAAGTGGAGAATTAACAATGTTCAATTGACTCACACAAAAAATAGAAAGATAATGGAAATGAGTTACATGGAGTGTTACAATGTCCAACTGTATATTTGTCTGCATTGTTTTTATGGTATGTTTCTAATGAATCCCAAAATCCCTGCTTATCTGTAGGGCTTTAGGAATGGGTGGCACCAGAGGAAGGATTTACATCAAACATGCTGAACTCTTCAAGGTAAATCTCTCTCGCGGTCTCTCTCCTTCTCTCTCTCTCTCTCTCTCGTGATGTACATTTGGTTGTATATCAAACATACAGATCTGATCCTACTGCATTATCCCAAATGTGTTTTGAATAACAAAATAAGAGCAATGAAACAGAGAGAAGTAAAGAAGCATCAACTAAAATATTTATTTTCCAGACGGTTTAATTAGTAATACATTCAGAGAACATGCCGGTTTATTTCTCAAATTTTATGCAAAATATGTTGTCTCTGTCTAGAATCAAAATCGATATATTTTGTCACAAATGTTAAGAGGTTGAGTAAAAACTATTTAGCTTAGATATTTTTTTTTGTAGTGAATACTTACGGAGAGTTATCAGGAAAGTAAGAAGACAGTTCTTCCTTATTTTTACGAATAATATCTGCTGTCCTTGGAAATGGCAACAGTTGTTTACTTCGGTTACAGGTATTCTAATACAGTTTAGTAATAGACAAGTCTTTGGCGCAAGATTCAAGTGACGTTTTTTGTTGTTGTTGAACTTACTCTCTATGCACTGACTCTATGCACTGACTCTATGCACTGACTCTATGCACACACACACTGGTCTCTACACAAACACTCACACACATGTACACTGACATCCCAACACACTACATACACCCACACACGCATAACATGCTCAGTCTATTATCTATCCTGTTGCGTAGTCACCCTACTCCTACCTATATGTACACACTACATAGCTACCTCAATTACCTCGTACCCCTGCACATCGACTCGGTACTGGTATTCCCTGTATATAGCCATATTATTTTTACTTGTTATTGTTTTTCACTATATTTATTCCTCATGTCACTATTTTTATTTTATCAATATCTAAATGAGGCAAGAACTTGTCCGTGTAGACCGATTTTAGGGTGTCCAATCTCTCCAAAAGAATGTGGTGATCGATGGTGTCAAAAGCAGCACTAAGGTCTAGAAGCACAAGGACTGACGCAGAGCCTTGGTCTGACGCCATTAAAAGGTCATTTACTACCGTCACTGGTGCGATCTCAGTACTATGATGGGGTCTAAAATCAGACTGGAGCGTTTTGTATACATTATTTGTCTTCAAGAAGGCAGTGAGTTGCTGAGCCACAGCTTTTACTTAAACATTTGAGAGGAATGGGAGATTCGATATAGGCCGATTTTATACCCAAAAAAAGATCCGGACCAAGGATTGGCTTTTTCAGGAGAGGCTTTATTACTGCCACTTTTAGTGAGTTTGGTACACATCCGGAGGATAAGACACCGTTTATTATATTCAACACAGGGGCGGCCAAGCACAGGAAGTAGCTCTTAATAGTTTGGTTGGAATATGGTCCAGTAGAAAGCTGGAAGGTTTAGAGGCCATGACTATTTTCGTGAATGTGTTTTAACTTTGGAAAGGGACCTGTAAGTAAGCATTTCACTGTTAGTCTACACCTGTTTATGAAGCATGTGACAAAAAATATTTATTTTGATGATTTGATTTGAACTGCCAGGTGAAAGGTTCTAAATACAGTATATATACAAAAGTATGTGGACACCCTTTCAAATGAGTGGATTCTGCTTTTTCAGCCACACCCATTGCGGACAGGTGTATAAAATCGAGCACACGGCCATGCAATCTCCATAGACAAACATTGGCAGTAGACTGGCCTTACTGAAGAGCTCAGTGACTTTCAACGTGACACCGTCATAGGATGCCACCTTTCCAACAAGTCAGTTCGTCAAATTTCTTCCCTGCTAGAGTTGGAAACGTCTAGAAGCAACAACGGCTCAGCCGCGAAGTGGTAGGCCTCACAGAACGGGACCGCTGAAGCACGTAGCGGGTAAAAATCGTCTGTCCTCGGTTGCAACAGTCACTACCGAGTTCCATACTGCCTCTGGAAGCAACGTCAGCAAAATAACTGTTAGTCGGGTGCTTCATGAGATGGGTTTCCATGGCCGAGCAGCCGCACACAAGCCTAAGATCACCATGCGCAATGCCAAGTGTCGGCTGGAGTGGTATAAAGCTTGCCGCTATTGGACTCTGGAGCAGTGGAAACGCGTTCTCTGGAGTGATGAATCACGCTTCACCATCTGGCAGTCCGACGGACAAATCTGGGTTTTGCAGATGCCAGGAGAACGCTACCTGCCCGAATGCATAGTGCCAACTTTAAAGTTTGGTGGAGGAGGAATAATGGTCTGGGGCGGTTTTTAATGGTCAGGCTAGGCCCCTTAGTTCCAGTGAAGGGAAATCTTAATAGCATACAATGACATTCTAGACAATTCTGTGCTTTTTGGCAACCGTTTGTGGAAGGCCCTTTCCTGTTTAAGTATGACAATGCCCCGGTGCACAAAGCGAGGTCCATACAGAAATGGTTTGTCGAAATCGGTGTGGAAGAACTTGACTGGCCTGCACAGAGCCCAAACCTCAACCCTATCGAACACCTTTGGGATGAATTGGAACGACGAGCAGAATTTCTATGATCTATGTCATCATAGAAAGTAATCAACATTCTAATCATGCCTCAACATTCTATTGCTATGGTCTCAACCTCTCTCTAAGTCCTTTATGCCTATCCTATTAATACAAAAAATGTCCACCTATTAGAACCTCCTATAAAAATTCCCCTGGCCTCAAGGTTTTGTGACGCTGACATGAATGGACCAGGTAGATGACCTCTTGTTTCATATGTACATTGGGAGCTAAAAACGGAATTGCGGTAGCAGATACAATAAATTATAAACAGTAATCAATCAAATCTAAAAGTCAAAGAAATTTGGAAAGTAATGGCCATGTGCATTGAAGGTTGCATCACTGCTCTATTATGCTAACCAACCTGTGAGTGAGACAACCATCTCCCAGTATCCCCTACCATAAACCATTACAAAGCTTACATGATGTAATAATACTGTGTGTCTGTGTGTGTTTTCAGTATGCGGCTGATGCTCAGGACAAACACTGGTTGGCAGAGAGACAGCATATGAGAGCCACAGGTGGAAAGATGGTAAGAGCTCTGTACCCAACTCTAACCTGGTTGCAGATCTCTTTGTGCTTTAGCCAAACTCCTCTGTCATGTTTGTTGTCATGCAAAGTTGGCTAAAGGACAAACAGGTCTTTGTGGACGACCCTTCCAAATTCGCATACAAATGTGAGTTATACACTGAGTGTACAAAGCATTAGGAACACCTGCTCTTTCTATGGCAGACTGACCAGGTCAATCCAGGTGAAAGCTATGATCCCTTATTGATGTCACTTGTTAAATCCACTACAATCAGTATAGATGAAGGGGAGGAGACAGGTTAAAAGGATTTTTAAGCCTTGAGACAATTGAGACATGGATTGTGTATGTGTGCCATTCAGAGGGTGAATGGGCAAGACCAGCGGTTCCCAAACTAGAGGTCGTGACCCCATGAAAATGATTCAACTCTAAAAGATAAAATTCAACCAGAGAGTGCCCTTAGACCATTGCACTTGAATCATTCCTACGGTGAATGGCTAAGCCCGCTACGCTATGAAACCACACACTATTGCAGAGACTTTGATATTACCGGCCGCAATTGATATGGTGAAAGTAATGTGTAGGGAGGCAGAGGCACATAAACTCACATTAATACCTTTGTCAGATAACACTGTTAATCGAATAATTTATGCTATTGCTAGCAATCAAGAGGAAACTGACTGAACGACTCAAACTCCCCAGCTTAAGCTCGGCCCTCACGTTAGCTGTGAGGGCAGAGATGCCCATGCATTGACTTTTGTTCGCTATACATGTTGGGGGATGCTTTTCACAAGGACATATTGTTCTGTCTCACGATTCCCGAGCATGAAACGGCACAGGGGATGTTCAGTGTGCTGCGTGGCTATATTGACGAAAAACCGATTCTGTGGGATCGATTGGTGGACTTTTGCACAGATGGGGCTCCTTCTATGGCGGGACGGCAGGCAGGCCTCTGCACTCTAGTTATGAATGTGTCTCCCTCTGCCATATGGACGCATTGTATGATACACCGAGAGCAACTGATGGCAAAAGAGCTGAGCGCATAACTCTGCGATATACTGCAACAGGTAACTTTGATTGTAAACTACATCAAACCACATCCACTGCGCACACGCCTGTTCACAAAACTACGTGGAGATATGGGATCAGAGCATGACAATGATCTGTTTCACACCAAGGCTTGGTGGTTATCGAAGGGGAGTGTTGGAAAGAGTTTTCACATTGAGAGAGGAACTGTTGTCATTCACAATGGATGTAAAAAAAAATAACTTGGTTGACTTTCTGTATAATGAAAAGAAAATGTCTCCTTGCCTATGTAACAGGTATTTGGGAAACTGAAAGAACTGAACGCAAGCATGCAGGGGAAATACAAAAACATTCTACAGATGAGTGACCGACTCAGTGGATTCAGAGGAAAGAAGTATTTTTAAAAGCGAACTATGCCACCTTCCTAACAGAAAACAGCATCAGTAAGTGTCCCACTCGAGTGATGACTGCTCACCTCCAATGCTTGGAAGAGCATTTTGGGACCTACTTCCCAATCCATTGGACTGTGATTCTGGCTCAGTTGACATGCCATTAAGTGAAATCGAACAGCTGATCGAGCTGTCATGTGACCGAATACTGCAGACAACGCATTCACGGGTCACTACGGAGGAGTTTTGGGCCCTGACTCAAAGGGAATACCCTGCCGTCTCCCTCTGAGCATTAATGCCGCATTCAAAACAACTGGGAACTCTGAAATCTCCTACTTCAGTGCGTTCAAGACAACTGGGAACTCTGATAAAAACAAGCTTCGACTAGGAAAAATAGTTTTGAATGGTCATCCAACTCGGAATTCCAACTCGGGAACTCGGGCCTCTTTCTAGAGCTCAGAGCTCATGATTTTACCCCGTATTTTTCAAAGTTCCCAGTTGTTTTGAAAGCACCATAAAAACTCATGGTACCTTTCGCCAGCTCATTGACTGTCATAGCCCCACATTTAAAAGTATGTGATGGTGAGTTGAGAAGATAATCAGAAATACTGTTAATGTTTTTCAATTGACTGCCACAGCCCCAAATAAAGTAAACATTGGCTGTTAATTACATAATTTTATTCACATGGTTGGGGCCGCAAGAATTTTCGCATCAAAATGGGGTCGTGGGCCATAAAAGTTTGGGAACCCCTGGGCAAGACAAAGATTGAAGTGCCTTTTGAACAGGATATGGTAGTAGGTGCCAGGTGCACCGGTTTGAGTGTGTCAAGAACTGCAACGCTGCTGGGTTTATAGTAATTTAGTATGTTAAAAGCTGCTTTTCTGTGTTGGAATGGTGTGTGCATACCCCAACAACAGAATGCTGTGGGCGTATACTGGTCATAATAAATATTAATGTGAGTTGGCCAGCTCATCCTCCTCTAGACCGCTGATTGGCCAGCTCATCCTCCTCAGGAGTATGACATGGTAAGCATTTTCTAAACGGTCTGTGTGAGACAACTTTGAGGTGGGGTTTTTGAAGTTTTTTTTTCTTCTCCAATTTATGCATTGGCCACATTATTTGGGTATGCGTTAACAGAATATGAACATTTAAAAGTTAGATTTTCACTGGACAGTTACTTTAAGCTGCTTTCTGCTTCGTAAGCACTAGCTTCAAACAGCTTAAAATACAATATCTTTGCTTATTGAAAATATATTTCACAGTGGTTTAAGATTGTATGATTCTCTACACTTTTACTTATTTTGTCACAGAAGCTGAAATTAAGCGAACGTGATAGAATTTAGCAACCAGGTAATGGCGGAGCGATTTCTACATATTGTAATGTATGAACAAATGCAAGCTAATCTGAACATTTAATGATTTTATAGGCCTATCTCCTTATCGAAGAGGACGTCCAGGACCTTTCTCTGAGTGACGATTACAAGTAAGGAAAACATTTTGTCGGCCCACATCTTATCCAGTAAGTGTCAATTAATCTGTCATTGAACTGAGTATCTTCGATGGATATTCACTTCTTAAACCAGGCACACTTAACCTGGTGGCCACAGATGAGTTGGCCATAGCCTACAGCTCAAACAGGCTAAATCAAGCTCAATGGGTGTTACACTGGTGTCAGGATGAGATTATGATTCTGTTGTGTGTTGTTTATTTGATGTTTTTTCCAGAGATTGCCCCGACCTGAAAATGACCCCAATTGAATTAAAGCCTTTTACGGTTCCCGGATGGATGATTGAGAAGATGCAGAAGGCCATGGAGGTCCAGAGTTCGGGGAGGGAATAAAATTATAGTTTGCGTGCGGGGAAGAAATCAAATCCTAGTGTGCGTCCCAAATGGCACCTTATTCCCCGTATAGTGCACTAGCTTTGATTAGAGCCATATACTGTAGGGCCGTGGTCAAAAGTAGTGCACGACATAGGGAATAGGGTGCCATTTGGGACGCAAGCCTAGAAAACCACAGAACAGAAAGAATTCATGTCATATCAAATCACGAGCGACTGGACAAGAGTGCCAATGTCTCTTCTGCCTGTGTGGCTTTGGATGCAGTGTCATTGTATACAACTACTGAACAGTGCTCTTTGATAAAGAAATGTGCCCTTTTTTTTTATCCTTACAGTAATGTAACGTTAAAAGGGGCTATATGGCAGGCTATGGCCCCTTGGTAATAGAACGGTCATCTACAAGACTGTATTCTCAATTTTATATTGTAATATGTTTCTACAATATCAGGTGCTTTTATGTTTGTCATTTGCTGTGATTTTATTTCTTACTACAAACTTTCAAGAGCAGAATGTATTTAATTTTGTCGTCTTTTTGGATTAGCTGACTATGATTAAAAACATGTGTGCTTGATGATCACTTTGTTATTGTGAAGTCATTTCTATGCTAAATAAATATTTTTATGACTATAGCTATTTTTGGTTTAGTTTTAGTTTGTTGGACATGACATTGTACTTCATGGCATAGACCATGAACTTAGACCATGTCCTTTTTTTCTATCAAAGACGTGAATCAACCTTCACGTAATAAAGCTATTGATTTGTCTATGTCTGGTTTATTCAGTATATTTGTCAGCATTTTTTATATACACTGCTCAAAAAAATAAAGGGAACACTTAAACAACACAATGTAACTCCAAGTCAATCACACTTCTGTGAAATCAAACTGTCCACTTAGGAAGCAACACTGATTGACAATAAATGTCACATGCTGTTGTGCAAATGGAATAGACAACAGGTGGAAATTATAGACAATTAGCAAGACACCCCCAATAAAGAAATGGTTCTGCAGGTGGTGACCACAGACCACTTCTCAGTTCCTATGCTTCCTGGCTGATGTTTTGGTCACTTTTGAATGCTGGCGGTGCTTTCACTCCAGTGGTAGCATGAGACGGAGTCTACAACCCACACAAGTGGCTCAGGTAGTGCAGCTCATCCAGGATGGCACATCAATGCGAGCTGTGGCAAGAAGGTTTGCTGTGTCTGTCAGCGTAGTGTCCAGAGCATGGAGGCGCTACCAGGAGACGTGGAGGAGGCCGTAGGAGGGCAACAACCCAGCAGAAGGACCGCCTTTGTGCAAGGAGGAGCAGGAGAAGCACTGCCAGAGCCCTGCAAAATGACCTCCAGCAGGCCACAAATGTGCATGTGTCTGCTCAAACGGTCAGAAACAGACTCCATGAGGGCCCGACGTCCACAGGTGGGGGTTGTGCTTACAGCCCAACACCGTGCAGGACGTTTGGCATTTGCCAGAGAACACCAAGATTGGCAAATTCGCCACTGGCGCCCTGTGCTCTTCACAGTTGAAAGCAGGTTCACACTGAGCACATGTAACAGACGTGACAGAGTCTGGAGACGCCGTGGAGAACGTTCTGCTGCCTGCAACATCCTCCAGCATGACCGGTTTGGCGGTGGATCAGTTATGGTGTGGGGTGGCATTTCTTTGGGGGGTCGCACAGCCCTCCATGTGCTCGCCAGAGGTAGCCTGACTGCCATTAGGTACCGAGATGAGATCCTCAGACCCCTTGTGAGACCATATGCTGGTGCGGTTGGCCCTGGGTTCCTCCTAATGCAAGACAATGCTAGACCTCATGTGGCTGGAGTGTGTCAGCAGTTCCTGCAAGAGGAAGGCATTGATGCTATGGACTGGCCCGCCCGTTCCCCAGACCTGAATCCAATTGAGCACATCTGGGACATCATGTCTCGCTCCATCCACCAACGCCACGTTGCACCACAGACTGTCCAGGAGTTGGCGGATGCTTTAGTCCAGGTCTGGGAGGAGATCCCTCAGGAGACCATCTGCCACCTCATTAGGAGCATGCCCAGGCGTTGTAGGGAGGTCATACAGGCACGTGGAGGCCACACACACAAGCCTCATTTTGACTTGTTTTAAGGACATTACATCAAAGTTGGATCAGCCTGTAGTGTGGTTTTCCACTTTAATTTTGAGGGGGACTCCAAATCCAGACCTCCATGGGTTGATAAATTTGATTTCCATTGATAATTTTTGTGTGATTTTGTTGTCAGCACATTCAACTATGTAAAGAAAAAAGTATTTAATAAGATTATTTCATTCATTCAGATCTAGGATGTGTTATTTTAGTGTTCCCTTTATTTTTTTGAGCAGTGTATATCTGCAGCTGTTCAATTATCCCTTGTATTAAATGTTTTGTATTTATGTTGAATAGACCTTTATCGCTAAAACAATGAAGCAAATATGTTGTTGGAGAAATATTTTGCCATAAAAGCTGTATTGGCTCCTCCAAACAGATCTATATTTTTGTAAGATGTAATTTTCCTAAATACAAGTTTGCACTGATCTGCACTGATCTGTCTGAGAACTCATTGGGCGCGTTCGAGTGGAGCACTTTTGTCAAATCGGTGACCATCGTTGCGCGGTCGTCACTAGTTACCACAGCCACAAAGTCATAAACCCCGGCTATGTCTACAATTTCTCTTCTTAAAATTAGATTTTAAACCTAAGCCTTATGCCTAACCTTAAATTACGACCAAATAGCTACTTTTTTATAGCCGAGTTTGACTTTGTAGCTGTGATAACTAGTGGAAACCATGTTGCACTGAGCCTTGCTATTGGAAAACCACATCAGTATCCGTCTTTCGGCTGTAGCAGACGCACCTCCCCGACGTCACTCCTGGACTTTCATTTGCAGTCGGATGCTTCAGCCTTACCACTCAAACAAGCCCAATGGCTGTGTTCAAGCGCATTAAAACGACTGCAGGCGACTGCCGACTGACTGATCTACAAATCACCTTGCATCAAAAATAACGACTCATTATTTGTAGATCAGTCAGTCACAATGATACATTACGGTTTTGATCCTCTCGAACACGTGTGTGGGGTTCATTTCGTTAGTGCAATCTGGGATCCTTGGGACGTCCCCACACTAAACCTTAACCTTAAGTAAGGTTTAAGGCCATGTTAAATTTGCCAATAAAATAGAATATACACCACTTATTATGAAAGCTCATTCCCGCCACCAAAAAAAGAAAATCTGACTACGAGTTATGAGATAGTAAGTCATTATTATGAGAGAGTAAGTCATTATGAGAAATTTAAGTCATAGAGTCATAATAATGAGATAGTAAATCATAATTGTAAGATAGTACTTTATAATTATGTGATGTCAATTATGAGAGAGTAAGTGATTATTATGAGATATGTATCACAATCAAATGTGCACTTTATCCTTTCAAGGATAACCTTATGTATATCCTATAGTCAATCACACATTGTATGTGTCTGCTGTGTGTGTGTGTGTTTGTGAGAAAGAGAGAGCGAGAGAGTTTGTGGTGATATTGTTCCATATTAATGGATTGGAGAGTTTTGTAGATGTGAGTTGGTGCCTGTTTGATTAAATCTGGTTGACATCAGATTTAATTATTCAATTAAGTCCATTAAAGGGGCGATCTGGGATTGGTACATCAATTTTTTTACTTATAAATTATTAATATATTGAACAAAAATAGACGCAACATGCAACAATTTCAACGATTTTGCTGAGTTACAGATCATATAAGGAAATCAGTCAATTTAAACAAATTCATTAGGCAGGGGGGCCAGAATGAAAATGTATGCACTCACTAACTGTAAGTCGCTCTGGATGAGAGCGTCTGCTAATTGACTAAAATGTAAATGTAAATGTTCTAATCTATGGATTTCACATGACTGGGCAGGGGCGCTGCCTGGGAGGGCATAGACCCACCCACTTGGGAGCCAGGCCCACCCACTAGGGAGCCATACCCAGCCAATCAGAATTAGTTTTTCCCCACAAAAGGGCTTTATTACTGACAGAAATACTCCTCCCCCCTATGTTGATCCTGCAGGTGAAAAAGCCAGATGTGGAGGTCCTGGGTTGGCGTGGTTACACGTGGTCTGCGGTTGTGACGTACTGCCAAATTCTCTAAAACGACGTTGGCTTATGGTAGAGAAATGAAAATTATATTCTCTGGCAACTGCTCTGGTGGACATTCCTGCAGTCAGCATGCCAATTGCACGCTCCCTCAAAACTTGAGACATTTGTGGCATTGCGTTGTGTGACAAAACTGGACATTTTAGAGTGGCCTTTTATTGTCCCCAGCACAAGGTGCACCTGTGTAATGATTATGCTGTTTAATCAGCTTCTTGATATGCCACACCTGTCAGGTGGATCAATTATATTGACAAAGGATAAAATGTTCACTAACAGGGATGTAAACATATTTGTTCACAACATTTGAGAGAAATAAGCTTTTTGTGCGTATGGAACATTTCTGGGATCTTTTGTTTCACCTCATTTATCCGCCGCCATCACCTCATGTTTCAGCATGATAATTCACGGCCCCATGTCGCAAGGATCTGTACACAATTCCTGGAAGCTGAAAATGTCCCAGTTCTTCCATGGCCTGCATACTCACCAGACATGTCACCCATTGAGCATGTTTGGGATGCTCTGGATTGACGTGTACGACAGCGTGTTCAAGTTCCCGCCAATATCCAGCAACTTCGCACAGCCATTGAAGAGGAGTGGGACAACATTCCACAGGCCACAATCAACAGCCTGATCAACTCAATTCATCTACACTGATTGAAGTGGATATAATTTAACAGGTGACATCAATAAGGGATCATAGCTTTCACCTGGATTCACCTGGTCAGGCTATGTCATGTTTTGTACACTCAGTGTATTTGTTAGCTATCCATCTGATTGATAAAGTAGATTTTTTTTTAATTGCCATTAGCTAGCTAGCTAGATTGAAACTGCT